TCCCTTCCAACCTCCTCAATACGCAACTGCGGTCGAATTTTCCATGAATATTTAAGATAACTTCACTTTGCTTTGGTTACTTCCGGAATTTAATTTTAGGAGGTGGTTGGTAATGACGACAGTCTTAGTATTATTTTTGCTTGTAGGGCACATCTGGCGTTTTTCTTCTACTAACCTGAAATTGTAGCGAATGATAGTGTAGTGAGAGAAACCACAGGAGCCGCGCTTTATGACAGCCTCTGCGAGGATCCTCTAATAGTCTAGATGGTTCATTTGTTGGTATCTGTTGCTGCAACACTGTGTCCGTCTGGCGCATGTTTGCAGCGCACAATTGGCGGTTGGCTCGTCTGATATTTTGAGGATCTGTTTGGTGCTGTCATCTCTTTGGACCAATCACTGGCGTCGTGGGTCTCTGGCGCGAGTTCGACCAATCACAACCATGCAAATCGGCCAATCAGCTCTAAGGTTGACGCGAAAATTACTCTCAGCCACGACATTCGATCGCGCGTCTCGTGTCAGCTTTCCGACCCGAGCAAAAACAATCCTTTTCTACAGAACGAAATGGTCTTGCGACTGTTGTCTATCCTTGATAATAAACTATTTTGACGTTCCTTATAAGTATTTTTTTAGTTTCACCTTTCATATTACTGCTGCTGGGGCATACGGGAAATAACTGCGCTTTTGTCACCAGGCAGATGGTTTCACAGCAGCTCGGGATGACTCTCGCTATTGTAGGTCGCACAGGCGCTCCGGAAATGAGATTTTTGGTAGAACTGTTTAAAAAAGAAGGCATTCTACCAGACTACTGTTCGATACCGCCGTCAGTTACTGAGGCAGTCTATCCCGTCACATTCTTTTCGAAGTTCCTATTTTGCATGAGAGTCTAGACGACGTGATGGAAATTAGAAGGTGTCCATGACCCCTTTATTTCTTTCCTGAGCATTTTCGGCAAAACCCTCATCTTCCACTTCACCTTGCTTCCACAGTGGATCTTTTGGATGACGAGGAGATTGCCAAACTGCCGCTGGAGAAGCGTGTTCTGATCAAATTACCGAAGAACAAATGGAAGCCTCCCAGTCCTTATCCGTGGGAACCGCGAGGACGTGGCATGAATCGTTGGGATTACTACATCTGCACAGAACTCGGTGATGGCAAGTGGATGCGTCTTCCCATTACAAAGCCAGTACACATTGAAATGGCACGTCAAAGCGTCTACATCTTCACTGGCGATCCAAACACGCCTATCGGCCACCTCCCAGGTGGGCTGGGCCTATTCCCAGGCCTAGAAGCCCACTACTTGCGGGCACAGATTGCGCGGATCAGTTCGGCCTGTACTGTCTCGCCGGCCGGCGTCTACGAGGTGGACGAGGAAGACGAGGTGGAGGAGGGGGTAAGGTGTTCGTGTCAGTGGAGTCTTGCCCTATTTTATTTGTTCTCTAAATGAACTGATTGGACTTTTTTGCAACAGGAAAAACCGGAATCTCTGCTCCTGGCAGAGGAATATGAGCCGCTGGAATTCACCGAGCTCCTCGACCTAGCCAATTGGGTTCACCACAGACCCTACCTCTACGGCATTGGTCGGATAAACTGGATGAGCACGAAGAAGGCCGCGAAGGCCTACAAGGCCCTGATGGCTGAAGAGGAGGGTGAGGAGGCCGAGCCGGAGGACGAAGAGGAGATGGCGGAGGAGGGTGAAGAAGAGGAGGAAGAGGAGCCGGAGGAGGGTCCGGATTTGCTCACGCCTGTCGAGGAGGATCAACCAATGCGCCCAATCGGTAACATTGGTCTCTCTAGGATTGGCTCGCCGGGTGAATTCCTGGCGCCGGCCTGGCGCGTACGTCCATCCACCGTCTTGCTGCCTGCAAACTGCGCTGTCGCCGTGCTTAGCAATGTTCGCTGGCCGGGAGCGTACGCAATGGCTCGTAAGGAGTAAGTGCGCTTTTGACAGTCAAGATAACGCACGCACGAAGTCAGTATGTTGGATCACATCCGATTCTTGCACTAAAGCGGACCCGTTAACGGTGGGCAAATGGGTCTAAGGCCCTCTTCGTCAGGTAGGAGCCGAAGTTTTGGTGGCTCAATTGGATGCTGTTTGCTGATAGTTTAGCCATTACTACACTACGAGGGCCTTTGCAGGATCAAAACTGAAATTCTTAGGCAAAATGGATAGCTCTTATTTTACTAGAAGGAATACCTGGGATACAGGGGCGCTCATCAACTAACCGGCCACACCCGACCCCGAGTCTAGGTGACCTGGGATTCGAGCACGGAAGACTGGGTCATTGCTCTTTAGGTAGTTCAAAATTGTAGTGCCTGGTTTTGATTTCGAATAACAGCTACTGTAGGAGAAACATTCATCGATCAGGTTAGGGGATATGGTTGACCCGTTACGACTTGGGGCTCAAGCTAAAGCCCTCTCAGAGAATGATGTTGGATCCGTTTCCGATGCCTACCGCCAGAGCATGGGGCCACAGTAGATGGCATTCCTTATGAAATATTAATTGAAATTGTAAAATAAGATGTCAGTTAGGTGACATTGCTTAACAATAGTTGTAACATTTATCACCAAAATAAGGAAGTATTTTAGCCAGACCTGGATGCCGGCTTCTAAATGTGTCTTTCCGATCCCAGGCAGAAAATCACATTCTCTAGAAAAATAATGCATAAGCAGTGTGCGATGTTTCCAGTGTGTTCGATACTCTTGTCATTCAGAATACATCATGTAGAAAACATGCACGAAAATGTAATTTATTGCGCTTATTTCATAGTCTATTACGTCTTTGGATTTTGGACCTAAAGAAAAGGTTGTCCTCGGTCTTAAAAAACCTTGAATTATGAGGTTTTTTAGGACCGCTAAATTCTTGTTTAGACGAAGTCACATCTGCCGTTACTAACGCTCCATTTTATGTATTCAACGCGGTCCATATAAATTGCAAAATTTTGTGAGCACCATATGGGACCTTTTTAGTAAGATAGAGGAATGTATTACTTTTTTAAACATAAAGTGTGCAGCTTCTAAATTGAAAACCCTGCATCCAAATGTAGCGGCAGGCTGGGTCCAAAGCTATCCGGAATAAAAAAATTTTAAAATTAAAACATCGGTTTTACAAGTAGATTGTACCTCGAAGAAAATGCAATGTAATACTAAACAGTGCAAGGAAGGATGTTTTTGGGCATACTTTCTGCAAGTTATGTTTGGATTTATAAGGACGTCGGAAATCAATGGAAAAAATCACGCTATCTAACGACCGGTAAGAAGTGCAATCAGAAGCCGACATTCTAGCGTGACGGAGTAATTTATATGATAATTAATATTAAAACTCCACCTAAGTAACTCTTTCTCACCAAGATTCTATTTTAGTTATGCAGTCGACATTTTATCAGATACGTCACATGAGACCTCAAAGAGATTGGTGTGAACTGATTCCATAAAAAACTTGGCTTACTAAATCAGAGGACGTCACACCATTAAACATCAAGCATCGTTGCATTGCATAGCATTCAAAAGCATACCTTCAACTCTCTTTTGCGGATGATGACATCTCAGAAGACCCATCGTCCCGTCTCAAGAAAGGTGGTTTCTGACTCCTTATTAATGCTTACGTAAACTATGAGATGGCTGATTTGAGCAGATATTCGAACAGTACATTGGTCGTTGGTTTCAACCGCTGCCGCTGTTGAAATGGGTGAAATTAGACCGCTCAATCGAATATTTCAGGCTTATTGAAAATAAAGAAAACCTGTTGTGTGTATGCAGACTTCTGGTAGTGAAATTCAAATAAATTTTGGCAGGGTATCAACATTCTGAGTGAAACGAACTAATATGCTCGCATAGGGAACAAAGGATACGCTAAAAACCCCGCAATCTCTTTGGAAACTCGTATTTTATCCCAGACTTAATGGAAATTTGAGGAAACGAACTGGTCAACAGACGCTTCGGAAAAACTGTGTAAAGCGAATTAAGCGCGAGTCTCCGTGGTTTGTACTTTTGAAGTACGATAACTCGTTTATTCGCCCAAACATGCATACTGTCGATCTGATTGACGAGTAACGTAAATGTCGACCAATACCTAACTGTCTGCCTATGACACGGCGCACCTGTCAACCAAACGCACCTCCACGCTATTGTAATTAACCACTTTAACTTCATAAAATGTTGCATCGAAGTGCCTAAACGCATAGTTTTGTTTTAGGCTTGTTTGCAATGTCAAGACATCATCACATTTATTTTTTGGTAATTTATTTTTCACTTTGAAATTACGGAAGATAAAAAAGAACAAATAAATTAATTGAGACGTGCGCTGCAATGGCACAGACGCCAGAATATTTCGCCTATTACCTGTACTGTTCGATTTCTACAAACACCAACCACTCAGTCTTTCTCTCCCAGAACTTTTGTGAACATCTACATCGGCTGGGGCAACAAGGTGCTCGGTGCCAGCTACATGCCCATCCGTTCAGCCAATCCGGCTAAGGAGTTTGACGAAGAGGCCACGCCACTGCAGGAGGCGGTGGATCCGACACCACTGCAGGAGGAAGAACTGCGTCTGATGAAAGAGGCCAAGCGCCTGGCAGCAGAGGCTAAAGCCGAAGAAGGCGAGGAGGAGGAAGAGGGAGACGAAGACTGAGACCGGGTCATAGGTTACTTTGTCTTAGGACCATCGACTAAGTGTATAGTTCAGCGCGTTCATGTTTTACTTAATAAATTCTACTCACAAATGCTAAGTAGACAGTTTTTAATTTTTTTACGGCCTATTACCGTTCCAGTTCCTTCACCCTCTCTGATTGTTGTAGTCTATCCACTTCTTTCAGAGCATTTCCTGCCTTTTTCTCCCACTCGATCTTTTTATAAACCTACTTTTATCTTTCTCCATACCCGAATCTCCTTCTGTCCGACTCTCTATTTAATTATTTTTAAATTTCCTTCACTACCTTTACATAATCCACTCGTTTCTATACCCCATATCCTCCTCCCCTTCATTCTCCTCCTCTTCCTACTCCTACTCCTTCTTCTTCTTCTTCTTCTTCTTCTTCTTCTTCTTCTCCTTACTCTGCCCGATGATGACGTGATCCCTCGTATTCGAGCTCTCAGTCACAGCGGTTAAATCGCCTGTGCTGGTGATTGGTGCAACAGCAGCTCGGCAGTTAAGTTCCATGACACCGTCACCGGTCAGTATGCTCCTCGCTAGAGAGAACTTCCAAAACTGGATGATACTGGCGTTTCTCTGGGCTCTTTTTCACGTGGTACATGAACTGCCCATCCTCTAGTAAACGTCTGACAGTCCAATGATGGCCAGTTCAGTGCATCATTCCCAAAAAATTCCGGATACATACAAGTTTCAGGAACCAGGTTGGAAACGGTAATTCAGTCAGTATGATTTACGCTCGTATTCATTATCGTTGCCACATCAGGCATGCAATATTTAAAATAAATACTTAATCAACCACTGTGGCTGACTTTACATCCAGTGTGAACACCCGGTGACGAAGGTACCTTCTATTAGTCCAGAAATTGGCGAATCCCTTGGCGTGCCTTCCATTCGATCACAAATTTGTAGCTCAGGTGATTACAGCGTCAACAGTAGTTAAGCCTTGCTTTTGCCACCGTAGGTTTGAATCACATCTACGCAGCCGAGAGTTTCACAGTCGTGTCAGTTGAATTAAGAACATGCTATCCTTTAGCACTTTGCGTGGCCGAGTTGGTAAGATTAAGTAAAGCAGTGATTTTCGTCGTTCTTCTATTGCTCAAGCCAGAAGGACTGCTGGGTACTTCATGGAAATCTCCAGTTCTGGCTGTTTTTTCTATCGCCAGGATATGTCTTCACGTGGTGACTCATTTCTTTTTATTCACTGTTTGAAACGCCGCTGTCTTCTACGTACCCATTAACTCGAAGGATGCCCTGAGCAAATAAGCCTTGTCACAACTGCCACTGCTATCAAAATAACCGACGAGGATTAATGCGTAGGCGCACTTAGAAATAGAACACGGAGACGCCTGTACCACGGTGAGGATGGTGATATCAGGCAAAGTAGCATGACTGACAAAAGACAAGAGAGACTGAAATGGCCATTTCTGTCTTATTAGCCATAATCAGCCAGCCGTACACATCCCCGAAGTGTGGACCACCTGAGGCTCAATTGCGTGACCTGTTGGTTAGAAGTCCAATGCCTCTAACCACTGAGCCACTGTCCTGACGGTTGTGCCCGGTTAAACGATCGGTGAGCGTCCCTCTGCCATTGTGCATTCCAAATCTCTACCAACAGGACAACGAGCCCGTGGCGCGGTGGGTACACACGTTGGACTTCTAGCGAACAAGTAAGGAGGTCGAACCCGAGGTTTTCCCCTCTTCGAGGTTGTGTATGGCTAGCTGACGACGGCTAAAATGCCAGAAACGGCCACTCCAGTATCTCTCGCACTTGTTGGCAATAACATTCTACCTTTACCATCCGCCGCTGTGCGACTGCTGGTTGGGCTCGAGAGAGAGCCAGAAGGCACAACAGGAGGAGTGACTTCCGTAGAAACGATCGGTGAGCGTTCCTCTACCATGATAATATCAGTTTTGCCAGTAATTCAGATGGATGTAACAATAAGCGAAGTCTGTGTAGAACACTGAGGCAGCTGGCATTCCTGCCATATGTTTTTTGTATTACTTCGATAAGGTGCGGAACAGACCGAGCAATCTGAAATATGCCAACTAGGAGCGTGTAAACGGACGAAAAATAGGTAATCTATGGTTACTGATTAAACAAGGCCAGTATGCAGGAGACACACTCAACCTCTACCCTTACTCCGACTGGAACGCACTGCCTAACCTAACCCTCACTTTAAGTCCCATCCTAGCCCTGATCGCAGCCCTAATCCTAAACCCAATCCTCACTTGCAGCATCATTTTCACATCGTGATTGAGTGATGAGCAGAGCTGCCCACATATTAAAACCGAAACATGAGGCAGGACCGCCCGCAGTACCAGAATGTTGGCAATGATGACTTCTAAGGAAATGAGACCCGTGCTCCCACATGCATATTGCGTGACCGATCTCATTAAATGTTGGCCGAATTTCTGAAATGCGTTTTCAGATAGGAAGGAATACCTAGGTGGCATTGTAATATTGATTATTATGCGACATAATCCTATAGTATTTAGGACTTGTCAGAATGACTACTTTTGAATGAACTTCTTTTTGACCTCCTGCGGGAACCAAACTCCGCAAAAATTGACTACTTAAGTGGCATGCATTATTTCGCATTGATTTTCGATGGTCTTGCAAATTCAAATGTATTTTATAGAAAACATGCACAAAATATTCTTTCTTTCGATAATTTGGTAGAAAACCACATTGTCTTTATATGTTAAATCCTAACAAAGTTTATTATTTGGTTTTGAAAAAGGTTTTATGATTCCCAAATAATTTTGTGGTTGATTTGTCGTTGCATTAGCGTTTATCCATTTTAGACTAGAAGGTGCATGCTTTCCGAATAAGGAAAATCATATATTCCTCTATGTCTTTAAGAGGATATCGGTCACAGTTCATTATGTTTTGCAGAGGATGCGGACTGTGTTGTACATTTCATAAGGAGCATTGGCAAATGGACAGGTAAGATGCTGTATGGTTGAGCATTGTACGGTCTTAAAGTCTCATAATTAGAATCTTTTATACTTATACTTATTTATACTCCTTCTTCGAGCATATAGAGATGACGTGATTCTCTATCAACCGACTGAAGAAACGCATATTTTGTTTGTAATTCCTCTAAAATACATTTGAATTTGCAAGACCATCGAAAATCAATGCGAAATAATGCATGCCACTTAAGTTGTCAATTTTTTCTGAGTTTGGTTCCTGCAGGAGGTCGAAAAGAAGTTCATTCAAAAGTCGACGTTCTGGTGAGTCCTAAATACTATAAGATTACGTGGCATAATAGTCAATCTTACAACGCCACCTAAGTATTCCTTCCTAACCGAAAACGCATTTCAGAATTTCGGCCAACACTTCATGAGATCGGTCACGCACTGCATATATAAGAAGAAGAAATATATTTACCGCAAGCTTGTTGCGGTACATAAAAGGCAATTTAGTACAGAATAATTCCACCCATTAACTATAGCGTAAGAAGACCTGTAGAACGGGAGTGGTGATAAAAGTGGTCTTCTGGGCAATGAAACATGGTGTTCTTAAGTGTATAAAAGTGAAAAAAATCAACTCTGCGCTGCACGTTTCTTTTACTGCATAACAGGGCAGGTTTGTGGTCAGATTGTTCAAGAGAGGAGTACGATTATCCGTGAAATGACGAAAACGATGTTGTAGAAAGACTTCTCTCCGAATGTTCTAGCTGTCTCGTGAATAAGACAACGTCCTGGGTGTTTAGGTCAAGACAGTACTCAGGACGCATGTTTTGACGGCGAATTGTTGATTTAGGAGGTTTAACCGGTAGGAGACGACTCCACGACAAGCTCACTTGAAGAGTCAGCTTCCTGACCGGAATCTCGGTGCCCCGCCCAAGAGGCTACCAGCATTACCTGCGCCAACTGTGTGAGTTAGTCAGTGTTGTTTTTTTAACTTGCAGTATAAATAGCAGTCCAGTAATTCGCCTGGATTTGCGATGCCAGGCTCGACAAGAGCATTGAGTATGTGGGAGTTAGTTGCGAACTGGAAGTTGGGTGATCTCCTGTCATGCATTACCTGTACATTCAGACTAATCATTTTGTTCGAGATTATCTTTTTTTAGATTTGTCGGCGAAATTGGGAGGGATAATAGTGAAACAGTTGATCAGAAGAAGAAGAAGAAGCGGTTGCTGGAACAAGGGCTTTATTCGTCTGATGTATCGGATTCTCACTTGAACACATCATCAGAGACAGTGGCAGAAATGGGTAACGGTCTGCTACTGTCTCTGATGATGGGTTCAAGTGAGAATCCGAAACGTCAGGCGAATAAAGCCCTTGTTCCAGCGACCGCTTCTTCTTCTGATCAACTAGTGAAACGGTTGTAGGAGTTTTGCAGCTTGACAAGCAAATCTTAAAAATGCTGTATTGAAGTTGGAGGTGTTCCTACAAAGAGCCGGGCGGCAGATGCGATGGACCAACTTGGAGTCCACACCAGGACAAAACAGGCGCACCTATAACAAATGTCACATATGGGGGTGTGGTGGTACGCCTAGGCGTCTTATAAAACCCTGCCAGGGGATTGGCTATTTGGGCAACATGTAGATAAAATTTAATGAAGTGCGCATTCCGCGCAGTCCAAAAAACGAAAAAATGTACGCACAAACATCATGTTGGCTAGGCAACATAAACATGTAGCAAAGATAGGACCGCCATAGAAACAAAAGGAAATGATAATCGTGATGAAAATACAGTAAAATAGTATTACTGACAAAGACAATTGAGACTAACATGGACATTTCTGGCTTATTAACCATCGGCAGCCAGTCATGCGTAACCCCGAATTGTGGAACACCTGGGGCTTGATCCCGCGACCTATTAGCTAGAAGTCCAAATCCTCTAACCTCTGAGCCACGCGCTCGTTGTCCTGTCGTTTTCGACCGGAAATGCACAATGGTAGAGGGGCGCTCACCGATCGTTCTTACGGAACTCACTCGTCCTGCTGTGCCTTACGGGCGCTCTCTCGAGCCCCAGGTATTCCACACCTCGGGGTTGGGTATGACTGGCTGACGACGGCTACTAAGCCAGATACGGTCACTCCAGTCTCTCTTGTTTACGCCGGTAATACCCTTCTGCCTATGTCATGTCCCGCTGTTTAGCTATTAGTCGGGCTCGAGAGAGAACCGTTCCGTTTCTATAAACCACATTAAAAATAAGTGAGCACCCCTTACCTTGTTATGATAGCCGGTGCCTAAGAAGGCATTTTACCTTGATGTCTATTACTTGATCATACTTCTTACAGACAACCTCCGGATAGCTGAGTGACTGGAAGTATCGTCCAAACTCAACCAATCGCCTGATAGGCGGCGGAACCATTCTGCAAAAAGTGTCAGTCAGTCACCAACCCCCTCCACGCCAAACACATATACCTGGTCCCGCCTCCGGTCTTATTGACTCTGTCCTGACATCGGTCCCTGTTGGATGAGGAGGAGGGAGTGCGATAGATGCAGCGCAAGTCTGCTGTCGCTGAAAACTAACTCACGTGCAAGTCACCGTCTCTGCGCCCGCTATGCTTTTGGGCAGACGGTGGATATCTTCAAAGTCGACGATTTAACTGCTGTTGATGGTGGAAACTGTAGCATACCCACTGTAGCAACTCGGTTGCAAAACTAACCAACTTCCGGTGTCCGGAAGCGGGTAATTATGTATACTCCCCTTAAATTTAATGGCGCTGTACACCAAGTGCCGCAACTTTCGCATGATGACCTGCATCTGTAGGAGGTCGTAATTTAGCCACGCCATGACACATTGGATTCAGCTGCCACTATAAATTGCGCATTGGCGACCGAGAGCACTTTATGCAAATAAGGTCAGTTTCTGAAGGAGAAAAATGATCGCTGAATCTGCTAGCAGACCGCTGCCTGGGGATAGGCCTGTCAGCAGTTTTGACAAGTTGTTTTTCAACAAATCATCAGTGGAAAGTCGACACTCGCATGGATGCGGTTATATTTTCTTTCTTACAGTAGATGTGCTAACTCATGAAATGGTAACTGAAATTCTGAAATGCGTTTTCATTTCAAAAAGATTAATAAAGTAGGGTTGTAAACGTGATCCTTGAGCAGCATACTTCTATAATAATCCAGTTACCTCAAGATGCCGGCTTTCGAACGAACCTCTTTCCTGCTGCATGTAAAATCCATACTCTGCAAAAAATGACTACTTAAGTAGCATGCATTTTTCTCACTTATTTTCGATTCACTTAAAAATTCAATTATACTTCGGAGAAAGCATGCATATAAATATTCATCCTTGAGCTCATTCGGTTGAAAATTACGTTTACTTTCCATTTTATACTCGAAGAAAGCGTATAATTCGGGTTTTTAAAAGTTTCTAATTGTGAGATTTTTTAATACCGCGTTTGACGATGTGGCCTGTAAAGTTAATAGTATGGCTCAAATCCGCTGGCGAATTTTATGAGCCCCATATGGTCTCCTCTTAATACCGCAGAGAAATGTATGGTTTTTCCTACGCGGAAGATATACGGCTTGTAGTTTGTAAACCCTGATTGCAAGTGTAATGGCAGGTTGAGTTCAAAATTATTCGGGAATTAAAAAAGTTTTTTGAAACCTGAATAATATCACTCCTTCGAGTATAAAATTGGAAGTAGACGTAATTTTCTACTTTTATGCATGTCTCCCATGAAATATAATTAAATTAAAGGGCATCGAAAACCAATGAGAAACATACATGCTACATAAGCAGTTTAGTTTATGCACGCGGCCGGAAAGAAGTTCGTTCGAAAGCCGGCATCCTGAGGCCACTGAATTATTATAGAATTATGCCGCACGATGACTTGTTTTACAACCCGACTTGATTACGCTTTTCGAAACGAAAACCTATTTCGGAATTTCGATTGACATTTCACGAGTTAGCCCACCTACTGTATGTTAGCAGTCTTGACAGGTTGTTTTCCAACAAATCACCGGTGAAAAGTCGACACTTGCATAGGTGCAGCACGCAAAGTCTCTGTTTACGGCTCACAGGAACAGACGCGGCTTCCCAGCAGACCGCTTTTCGTAGGGATAACCATATTTATCAATATGGTTGGTGGCTACTAATGGATTTCAGCCCAAATATTCATATCAAATCTCGGACCGTGCCAGAAAAGGTCCGTCCCGAAGAAGTTACTCAAAGTTCGCGCATTTAGCAAGTCTAAGCTACAACCGTTATGCTCTATTGCATCTCATGCCTCAAGCTTAGATAGGCCATGCTCGGGTAAGCTATGTCGGAACAAACGAATAACAAATCACAGCGGACTATTGGAGGCGGGGGCATTACTTGTGATAGTAAATAAGGGAGTCTAAAGACTTACGCAGTCAGCGGACGCGTAGAGAGACAGACGGGGCGTCTGATGGCGAAATAAGGCTCTAACCAACGACTATAAGCTTTAATTAATTTCGCATATTTTTTCATCATGTACGGCCAAGCTGGGAGCGCTACGACCTAACACAACTCAGTGTTACACTCCACCACCTCTCGCTTGGCGATTTCTTCTAGTGGCAAAGCCTCTTCTTTCGTTAATTTTTTACCGTTAAAAAGTCAATCCAGCGATGCATGCCGTTGATAACAGGAAACTCCACGAACGTTCGCCTGAGAGCGACTCACAGAATGAAAACACTATAGATTGCACGTCAGAACCGACGAGGACAAGAGCAGCCCTAAGTGATAGTTTTGGACTGAACGCAAAACAGATTCCAGTATGGAGAAAAAAGGTATAATGACCTCAGAAATTAACCGGCAAACCTGGAGTGAGTCCTTCGCAATAAACCATTTCAAGCTCGGTCTGAAGGTTGGTATGCATATTTGAGCTGAACGTCATCGGCTTCTGCGGAACAGACTGCGTAGTATTTGCAAACTGTCCGTCAACAGTATGACAGTTTGGCCGTCGTCGCCGACGATGTCCACCACGTGTCCCACAACAGAGCGAGAGCAGGGACGGTAACTTGCGCGTGAATTGGTTTATACTAAGGGTAGACTTGCGCAGCCCCTGTCACACTTCACCTGAAGACGGTTTCAAAACAGACTCAAGAAGCCCTAGGGCGGGAGAGGACGCACGTGTCTAACACGTTGCAAACCTGCGCCTAAGCCCTCTGGTCCTCAGCGGAGACTGACCGAGATATTTTACCACATGACCGGAGGCAACCATCAGGCGTCAGGTAATGAAACCAAAAGACCCGCTGCCACGGCTAGAAACGTCTGGAGTAGTTTATCGGATCTGGTGCAGTTGCGGACAAAGCAACTACGTCGGAGAAACCGGAAGACAGCTCCGAACGCGGATGGCCGAACACGCTGCAGCGGTGCGGAGAAATGACGCTAGCTCTCAAGTTGTGGCTCATTCGACGAGATCAGGCCACACATTCAAATTCGACGAGGCCGGAATTCTCGCTAGAGGTGACAACCGCGTGAGCCGTGAGCTGCTTGAGTCATGGTTTACTGGCCCCCATTCCATTAACAAGTGCAATGACCTTCCCCTTCCATACTCTATGCTGAGACTTCGCCTAGGCGGAGTAATTAACCACGCGGGAAGCGCACAGGTGAACACTTTTCCCACCACCAGGGTCGGTGCGTCAGATGATCGAGCAATCATCACACCAACATCCAACGCACGTGATGAAATTGCAGCAGTTAACGACGCGAATGTCGGCTATCACACCAAGTGCGACGATCCCGGATGAAGGGGGGAACCGTGAATGTTCATAGGTATGCGGTAGCATGGCGACTGCATCCTATAAATACTGCAGTCCCTTGTGCCTGTACCCCCCGTATCTGCTATTCTCTCTGATGATGGGTTCGAGTAGGAATCCGAAACGTCAGGCTAATAAAGAACTTGTCCCAGCGATCGTGTCTCCTTCTTTAAGATTGCTTCCTGGGACTCGTCTCTTCGCTTCTATTGGAAATATTTTACCACAACACAAATGGAAGGGGCCGCTCGGATATCAAATGGCCCGGAGTGAACCAACAACTGAACATGCCGCCACACCCCCGATGATGGCGTTTGATTTGGCTGGGCATTGCCAGTAACGATCTGGGCGCTGTATTGGTCCATTGTATCCACAGCGTGACCCTTTTTAGGGGGTAATCAGTCAGCAGTACATAAATACTGACTGATTCACAACTGGAGATTGGACACAGCCGCGGTGGCTGGACTTGCAAAATGTTCCCAAATGCCAACGTCACACAGACACGTGCACACCCAGACACTGAGTATTCCTGATTCGGAGCTGACGTCAGTGAGAATTGCCACAGGGGTCACAGCTAGACCTATAGTTTTGAGCAGGATCGAGTCATCGTCTCCGTTGACTGCCCTCGAAGTCACGACCATTAGCGCCTCCTTATAAACTCCAACGAGTAAGAATTATTGCCCCGAAGAAGGACCGCGTGGATTCGTATCGACCTCTGCTCACCCGCCATGCACTAGTGAGGTTCGAAAATGCAATATCTAGAGTTCACTTGAATGCATGGCTTTAAAGAACACGTTGTCTTGGCACGAGTGTATTTGAAGGCAAGGGACAAAATTATTTTTTAAAAACCGACCACAGGTGAGGGGGGTTTTGATGTGACTGTGTGGGACATGTTGAAAGCCATTGCCAGAATAAATGGCCTAACCATGGACAATATACTGACTTCGCCTGTCGTACGATACAACGACAATGTGGAAGGTGGGGGAGTCGAGGTGCGTGTGTTTGTGTGTGTGTGCAACTCGACAGGAAATAACACCAAATCCGAAAGGACGTCTGAATGCAAATTGGAAGAATGAGATCATTGAATGATAAGACGTTGGAGAGCGTAGTTTAGGGTCTGAAAGGCAAACAATGAGCTGATAAAAGTCGGACATTAAAGGGATGGATGAATGAATGAAATCGGCCACAAGTAAATGCACTCAAAATCGTCATTTGCGCATGCTGAAAACGCATGCCCGATGGAAAAGGGTGATGTGCAATTTGTTTCATTATACGAAGGACTTCTCAGAGTGGTTTGCTTCCTGTTTTTACAGAAGCTTTTTGAGTTTACTGTAAATTCAGTCGGAGGGAGGTAAAGCGACTGACTGTCAAAGCTTCATACAAGGCCAGATTTAAAATCGCATCTTCGTAAGTACCTTCTTAAGCAGTACAAGCGATTCTACACATTTTACAAAGTGCGAATCCACACAATTCGAGTGTTGAACCTACTAAAGTAATCGGATTGTTACGTAAACGACAGTAAAACTGCAATTTAGCACAGTCTTGTCCTAGCAATATCTGATTTCGCACCACAAATAAGTCATACTTCAGCTTTTTAATTTCTTTAGGAATTGGTTTGCGAAACTGAAAAAAAGTTTTTGTTACGAATGCTTCTCAGGCTCAGTTCGGAACCGACTGAGTAATAATCACAAACTGCCAATGGGTTATGAGCGGTAAACCAGTGTCACGTGATTCATCATACTGACAACACGAGTGCCAGCAAAAAGCCAGGCAAGTGCTTCAATCTCTGCTCTAAGCATACATTTTGAAGCTAAAGAGTATACATGAAAGCAAATGGAGGTTACTGGTGACCCTTTTTACGAGCCAAAAGCATCGCAGCTGCGCCACGCAAGAGAAGATTAGCCTTTTGCTGGTGCTCGTGCTGTGGCCATCGTACATTACGCAACATTAGGCTCCACACTGTCGTTTAAAGGGGGGGAAATATGAATTAGTGTAAAAGGGACATTCACCTGTTGATTACGGTACGGAAACCCGGCTCGTACCATTCGATCGTTTCACATGTGCGTTGCGTTCATCAGTCTACTCCAGCAACGAGACCAAACATGGCCGTTATGCCAGGTGAAGTGATCACACAGGACCTGGCAGCAAGCCCTGGGAAAGTGCTCCACCGTTGAGCCATTAGGTCTCGGCCTGTCACCCACGGTCGAGGAAACGCAAAGTCACCCCTCCGTGGTTGTCTTTTCGATACTGTTAAAGTGCTCTCCAGGACACGCGACCTAAACTCCAAGGCCAAACGGTACGGCCGGGGCTTAGCACCGCAATCACGTGACGTAGATTGCTGTCGGTGACAGCCACCGGGGTGAAAATACCGTGACTCCGGTGTCACAGCACGCCTCGATAGACGACCAATTTACCCAGCGCCAAGTCTGCTCCTGCCTTGTATTGCGGCACGTTCAACTAGCGACAGCAAATACGCCAGAGCATACCAACCGTTCCTACCAATCGATTATCGATTTTTGCCTCTTGAACGCTTGCTGTCCTCCAGGTCTCTGAAGTAAGGTAAAATGCCCGCTTTCGTCTTCTCGTAGTCGAGTAAAATCGCTGTTAACTACTCACTTGCGAATATAAGCATGATCGACAGTAAGAGCGATAGGGCGTCAACCAGACTTGCGGAGGTAACGATTTTTGTTCAGTGAATAGTCGAATCCGCTGATCTTCGCTGCTTTGTTTAGCTGACGACGCCGGGCAAACCAGAAATGGCTATCCACCCCTTTGTCCTTGACAATACTTCGCTTCCGTGCAACCAAATAGATTTTCGAAAGACCCTTGGAAGCCAATACATCAAGGTTCATACAGATAGTTAGGTATTTTAAAGGAGTTCTCACAACTCGCTACGTCATCATGAAAGAAAGCAGTTTTTAGAGGTTTCCTTGATTGCTGGAATGCGGGTTCGAATGGTCTATAGTTGCAGACTCGTAATCAGACTCATTATACGAGGAAAGATGAGAAGGCGAGAGATAGAAAGACCCAACGGGCTGCAATTGTGATTTGGCCACACGTTGCTTGATTAACGAACTACCACATGACAAGACCGGGAGGTCTACTGTCATGTCAGGAGGCACCTGTAGTGGTTTACCGAATCATGTGCACTTGGGACAGAACAACTGGGTTGTAAAAACAGGAAAACTGACGTGGACGCGGATAGCTGAACATGCATTAACAGTGAGGATAAATGACGTTAATTTCTAAGTCGTTGCTCTCTCGGCGTGATTCGGCCACATCTTCAAGCTAGGTGACGTCGGGACCCTGGCACGAAAGGCTAATTGCATGAGTCGAGGGTTTCTTGTGCCCCGATCCTCTGATGTACGCTCAACCACCGAGTTCGCTGACCTCCTTTCAAATAAAGTGTTCATAATCTCTGAATTAATTAACACTGCGCCGCGAGACGATACCAAGTAGCATATTTTCACTAAATGCTGTTGACAAAGACGTAGTATTTAACGACTAGGATTTAGCCGGCCAATTAATTGTGCCCATTAAAAAAACTGCCATGAATGCCCGTCATTAGTGGCTGGAACGTGGTCTGACAATCAGAAAACGTGCGGCCACATGGTAACCGCTTAATAAGAACGCTGGAATCCCAGTATTTGGCTACCTATCCTGGTGTCTGTCTCTGATGAGGGGTTCGGGTGTGAATCCGAAACCACTACCCAATAAAGCCTTATTCCATCGACGGCACGCACGTTGTCCTCGTTAGTAACTGAAACTTGCTTTTTCGTCTATGCTGACGAGATCGTCAGCAATGATGACTTTGGAAGTTGAGCGAAGAGTGAAATCTCCTGTACGTTTGGGAATCACAAAGCATGTGCTAATCTGGTCACCACCATAGCAGGTAGACTGTCATCGTGAAAAAAGGTGTAAAGTGTTAGAACAAAGACCATGGAGGGTGAAACACCGAAAACTGCTGAACCCACCAGACATCAGACGGGTTGGGAGGTCCCAGAGCCTCCGCAAGGTTGTGCAACACGTTGAGGCAGTATTCATTGTGTTTCACCTGATCGGCTGCAAGCTGCTTGAGACTTTGGGCCAGCGATGCCTGTATCTTTTCAGGAAGTGAAAAAGCAACGATAAACACCATTAGAAGCACACTATCATAAAGCAAGCTAGTTGAGGAATTTTTCCAGTAAAATGGGTGGTCAAGAAAACTTTTTATGTCGTAACATCTCACAGGCAACAGATATGCCCATGCGCCATGTCGGTTCTTTCTAAACAGCGAGTTAAGCGGAGCTGTGAAAGTTTGTGTTCTGCTTGTAGCATAAAACGTTCCCGGTGGTTCGGACCGTTGGGTGAAACTAACACTGCGTATGCTTAATGAAAAGCTGCTCTGAGCACTTAGACAATGTGCAATCAACAGGGAGACCATACCTAACAGTTTATGTCGAAGAAAACCAAAGTTACTATTTCGGATCAACAGCACAACCGTCCATCCCAAACGAACAACCAAGCCACCACCAAAGCACCTGATTGGTTGGCACCCTGCATTACACTCCCCCTCCCCTCTGCTCGAACCTAGATCTGAACCTTCTGTGTGCGCAGGTAGTGGATTATCTTGCATAAAGTTTGTGAGCGTCTACTATGTCAGGATCAGCAAACCATGGCCTTCGCAGTCTGGCGTGCCCCGGCAATTCTCTTGCATCTGGTCCCCGGCCGGTAGATGCGCTTGCGCTCCCACAGGGCATACAGGTGGTGGGCATGGCCGCTCAGTCGTCCTTCTACTTCTGACCCGTCGTGGTGTTGTTGGCTAAAACCCTGGTCAAGTGTTGGTTGGGGACCAGGGAGTGTAGAGTGGAGCGCCAAGGTGCTGACTCGGCGGCGCCATCCACCTGCACCCTCCCCTGCATCCGGTCTTCTTGACTCTGTCTTGACACCGGACTCAGGTGGAGGAGGACGAGGAGGAGGAGGAGGAGGAGGAGGAGATGAGAGTGTGATATATGCCGCGCAAGCCTACACCCACCATAAACTAATTCACACGCAAGTCATCGTGCCTGTTTCAGTTTGCTGTGGGGCACACGGACAACATCGTCGGATGCGACGCTCGAACTGTCATAAAGTTTATCTGATTCATTAAGGCGATAAATCGCCCGTCTGCAGCGATAGAGACCATCATTAGCCCGACGACGCAGAGGTCGGTGATGTGTCGTCCTTTTGACTCCTGTTGGGGCGTTGTTGTTGTTGCCGTTGTTGGTGAAAAATACTGGTCAAGTGTATGTCGCGGATCAGGGGGTGTGTTGGCACGCCCAGGTGCGGGTCCGGCCGCGTCAGCCATCTGCACCCTTCCCCGCCTCCGGTCTTCTTGCCTCTGTCTTGACACCGGGTCCAGGTAGGGAGTGGGGAAGAGAGAGTGCGGTAGATGCTGCGCAAGTCTACTGTCACTATAAACTAATTCGCGCGCAAGTGGCAATGATCAGGAGAAGGCCCCCAAACACACACGATCAGCCAAAGGTGCCTGTCTTACGGACAATGTGGTAATAGAGATTTTACGGGCGGGGCCTATGTACGCATAGAGAAATGGAAAAATTAGTATAGATAATTGGTAAATTTGTTTTTCGGTCGGAAAAGTTTTAATGCGTCGACATGTAGCAACCAAAATTAAGCAGAACAATTAAAAAATAAACATTAGGTGTCTACAACGATCGCTTCTCAACCCTCTGAGCTGAGAGCATTGTAGATAATGCACTAAACCATCGAAAACAGACGACCCAACCTTGTACGATGAAAGACTAAACCGAAATAATCATGTCGGACCTAAATCCACTTCAATAAGTAGGTATTCTTTGTATGACATCGATGTTTGGGGGCCTTAACCCGATCCTTACCGCTCCTGTACATGCAACGGAGGGGGGGGGGGGAGCTCGGATCCCACACAACCTGGGTGCCACAAAGTCTGTATGGCAAAAAGGAACCATTGGAGTCTGGCTTCCAGTCCTGCGTGAGTCGCAGCTATCGCGTCAGCCAGCAACGTTTCAAGGTCAGAGGCAGCGCAACGTGATCCGAGGATCACCTGATGTTTAAGTCAAGCGTTGTGCCAAGTGCAAAAGTTGGACCACATTCCGCCCAGAGAGCTTCTCAAAAAAAATTGTGATTGGACCTATCCACCTGGCTTAGTGACTGTCTGTTATTCTCAGCTGAGACACAAATAATTGGGCCTGCGGTTGTGGTGGACGTCATCTGAAGGGTAGCCATTCGATTGTGTTAGCATGACATTTCCTCCTTTACCTTGTTGTGTTTTAGGCTCCAAACAAAGCTGATGATACGATCAGTACTAAAAGAATGCACTGACTAAGATGTCGGGTACCAGATTAAACGACACATCATCGAAGATGCAATATTTTCAATGGTAACGGCTAACTTAATTTCATTCCAAATTTGCACACCCTTCTCGACATTTCCTCGTCTTAGACTTTTGTCCGATTTCTGTCGCCTGATTTTCCGGCTGACAAATTTTGACATGACTCTTCTTCGTCATATTAGCCAATGAGACTGTCCTGTCGTTGGTTTTTGGGCTGTCTTAGTGAAAGAGGACTACCTCTTGACCGGCTTCCAGTAGCTCCCAAGTTGAGCGGAGAAATCAAATATCCATGTTTATTAGTATTTTATGGCACCAAACGTGAAAAAATGCAAGTAGACGCACCTGAGCAGTAGAAATGTGTTCCAGCACCAATTTCGTGCTGCAGAGTTGAGCATCAAAAGAGCGTTTTGCAGCTTCGAGTTTTTCCGTCAGCTAAAAGGCCAAAAATTAAGTCGGTTGAAGAGTGCCGTAAAGCAGCCCTTGAATGGTAGAGGAGCGCTCACCGATCTTGTTACGAAACTCACTCGTCCCGCTGTGCCTTGCGGCTCTCTTACTCTCTCTCGAGCCCAGCCAGCAGCTCCACGGCGGCACGGTTAAGCTCCAGAAATATTGCGATTAGTGCGGAGTAACATTACTGACAAAGACGATGGAGACTGAACTGGCCATTTCTGACTTATCAGCCGTCGGCGGCCAGTGTTACCCAGCCCCGAGGTGTGGAACATCTGGGACTCGATCCAACAACCTGTTGGTCAGAAGTCCGATGTCCCCTGACCGCCAAGGCCCGGACTCGTTGTCTTATAGGTAGAAGGACGCTCACCTACTGGACAACGAGCCTGTGGCTCAGTGATTAGAGGCGTTGGACTTCTGACAAACAGATCGCAGAATCGAGCCCCAGGTGTCCCACACTTCGGGGTTGGGTATGGCTGGCTGACGATGGCTAACAAGCCGGATATGGCCATTCCAGTCCCAAAGTACGCACTTCACTGCAAAATATCAGTCTTTAAAAATGTTACTGTGCTCACAAAACTAAAACTCCTAAGCTGAGGATGCCCCACAGTACTGAAACCAACCTTTTGCATTCAATTTTACAGAGAAACAATATGGGCGAGGATGTCCTCTTCGTCTTCTCCTACTTTGTTCTGTCTACCAGCATTCAGAGCACACAGTAAACCACTTTAACTGCCACCGCAACAGTATATCTTGAGCAAAGTAACAAACAACAATATCCTGTTGCTCAAATCATAAACATGAAGCTTTCCCCGATTTACCAAAAATACAGGCAAACAGAAAATTCAAGAAACTTACCGCCTTTTTTGTTTCCTCATCTTCTGCATGTTCCAATTTCTTCCGCAGAGAAGCGTAGTCTAGACGCATGTCTTCCAGGGTTCGTCTTTCTTTCTGAAACCGAAGAGGTTAGAAAGTGCAAGGGCTTAAGAGCAGGCCAGAACGTTTGCTTGTCGAGGCAGGGTATGGGGAAATATGGGGGCCATGAAAGCAGAAAACTCTACCCGCAAAATGCGATCTGATTGCTGGCATTCCGACTTCGGTCGCGTGCACCCACCTACTGAGTTACTGTAGTCATGACTGTTAACTGCCAGACTAGATTTACATTCTCCTGTCTTTGAATATGAGGTTAAGCTAATTTTGGACTGAGCGGATGATCTGTCTCAGTGAGATAAATTTTGTGAAGTACTAAATTGCGGTTCCCTTCGGATCATGAAAAGGTTCGAATACACAGATCTACAGCAGTATACTGGCTGGGGTAACGTTTGTAGTGGCTCAGTGGGAGTTTATCGGAGAGCACGTGGGGCCTTTCAGCAGACCCTTTAATGCGGTCAATTCCTAGCCGCGATACTGGAATGCGACCACCAAAAGAAACTAAACGTCGCAATTGTATGAGAAGGAGATACGATCGCTGGAGCACAAAAACGGATTCCACGGAATAGGGGACACAATGCTTCCACTGTCGTGGACCATGACGTTCACGTATGTCTTATGAGGGGAGCCCTAGAGCAGGAGCTTGCGCGTGAATTAGCTAGTAGTACAGTAGGTGGGCTAACTCATGCAGTCAGCCGACATTTCGAAATTCGTTCCCGTCTCGAAAAGATTAGCTAGGTAGGGCTGTAAAACTGATCTTTTTGCAGCATAACCCTATAATAATTCAGTCACCACAAGATGCCGGCTTTCGAACAAACTTTTTCCTGGCTGCATGCAAAAAAACACAGTCTGTAGAAATGACTACTTAAGTAACATGCGATTTCTCAATGATTTTCGATGTCCTTAAAAATTCAATTATATTTCATGAAAAAAAAATGCATAAAATATATGCTGTTTGTTGCTCATTCCATAGGAAATGGCTTCTTTTTCCAATTTTATACTCAAAGAAAGGGCATAATTTGATTTTAAAAAAGTTACTAATTGTGCGATTTTTTTATACCGTGAAATGGCCATTCATAAAAACGTCATGTCCCTGCATTTACTAATGTGGCTTGTAAAGTTAACAATATGGCTCAAACCCACTGTTAAATTTTATGAAAGTCACATGATCTTCTCTTAATACAGTGGAGAAATGTATGGTTTTCCATACGCAGAAAATATACGGCTTGTAGTTTGGAAACCCTGAATGCAAGTGTAACGGCAGGTCGGGTTGAAAATTATTCGGGAATTCGAAACGTTTTTGAAAACCGAATCATAGCCTTCCTTTGGGCATAAAATCGGAAGAAGACGTAATTTTCTACTGAATGAGCAAAAGAGCGAATATTTTTATGCATTTTTTCTGCGAAATAAAATCGAATTTTTAAGGGCATCGAAAATCTATCAGAAAATCGCATGCTACTTACGTAGTCGTTTTGCCGAGTATAGTTCTTGCATATAGTTGGAAAGAAGTTCATTCGAAAGCCGACACCCTGAGGTAACTGGATTATTATAGAATTATGCCGCAAAATCGGTTTTACAACTCTACTTAATTTTCTTTTCGAAACGAGCACAAATTTCGAAATTTCGGCTGACATTTCATGAGTTAGCCCACCTACTGTAAGTTGGACTTTCACAGCCCCTATTGCACGCTCTCTTCCCTCAACAACCTTGTCACAACGATTAAACAGAAGCAATACAGTCGGGAGTGGACGCGGGCAGCAAAAATAAACGGACCGTCTACGCCTGTCGCACACTTTGAAATGGTGCTTGCTTCATATGTACCAAACTACAATAATAACGACGCAGATCTCACATGGGTGAGAGAACCATATACGGAAGAAGCCGTTACCATCCTGGAAAGAGCCGAGTAATCCCGTTATTTGGTAACCATGCACACTGCAAAGGTAGGAATCGTGTAAGAAGAACCAATCGATAAACCACCACGGAATGCCTCCTTTTAGGGAGGACAGTAGTAAGCAGGAATTTTGTAAGTGGTTAAAAGTTACAAAGCAATAAATAAGCAAAAAGTTTGTCTAAATCCTCCAATTTAGTTTATAAAAGTGGCGCGAAATTCAAAAAGCATTGTTGTAACAGACTACAAGTCAAGCAGAGTTGTTTGAAAGAGCTGAGGTCACTTTGGCGCGGATCCCGGATGGGTACGGTGTGATCGTCTACCAGTGAAAATGGCCGGTGTTCCTCCGTTTTCTACCGCTGACACCGCTCCCCTCGCTCCCGCCGTCTGTCCGTATCTCATCTCTCTTATTGTCCGCACTCTCGCCAGCCCGTACCAGCAGTTGCCGACAGCGTTGCAATCCCTACTGTCCTGTAACTCATATGACGTGATCACCACCCACTCCAAATGGATCATTTGTACAGTACCTATCTATTTGTCTCGTATTCATTATCTTCCACTTTTTCCACTCTATACATTTGTTATCGTGATATAGGTATCATATACTGGAAACCTCTTTTCTCATTCCATTTCTATATGCTTGGCTTATGTGGTGTCTAACAGCTCTGCCCAGTGTTACATAAGCCGGAAGCTACAGTAGGTTGGCTAACTCATGAAATGTCAACCGAAATTCCGAAACGCGCTTTCGTTTCGAAATGATTAATTAAGTAGGGTTGTAAATCTAGTCAGCCTGCAGCATAATTCTCTAATAATTCAGTTACCACAGGATGCCGGATTTCGAATGAATTTCCATCCGACTACGTGCAAAAACTACACTCTGTAAAAAGTGACTACCAATGTAGCATGAATTTTTATCATTGATGTTCTATGCCCCTAGGAGTCCATTTATATTTCATGGAAAGCATGCATAAAAATATTCATTTTTTGATCATTCGGTAGAAACTTACGTCTTATTTGGAGTTTATAATCGAAGGACGGACATAATTGGGTTTTAAAAGAGTTATTAATTGTGGGACTTTTAAATATTGTGAAATGCCCTTTAATAAATAGTCATATTTCTGCATTTACCATTGTGGCTTGTAATGTTAACAATATGGGTCAAATACACTGCTTAATTTTATGAACCCCATACGGTTTCTCGGATAATTTTGAACCCGCTCTACCGTCACACTTGAATTCAGGGTTTCTAAATTACAAGCTGTATATTTTCCGCGTACGGAAAACCATACATTTCTCTACGGTAATAAAGGGGGATCATATAGGTTTCATAAAATTTAGCAGTGGATTTGATCCATATTGTTAACTTTACAAGCCACATGGGTAAATGCAGAGACATGACGATCTATTAACGGCCATTTCACAGTATTTAAAAGTCCCACAATTAATACCTCTTTTAAAACCTAATTATGCCAGTCCTTCGAGTAAAAACTTCAAAGAAGACGTACGTTTCTACCGAATGATCAAAAAATGAATATTTTTATGCATGCTTTCCATGAAATATAAATGGACTCCTAGGGGCATAGAACATCAATGATAAAAATTCATGCTACATTGGTAGTCACTTTTTACAGAGTGTAGTTTTTGCACGTAGTCGGATGGAAATTCATTCGAAAGCCGGCATCCTGTGGTAACTGAATTATTAGAGAATTATGCTGCAGGCTGACTAGTTTTACAACCCTACTTAATTAATCATTTCGAAACGAAAACGCGTTTCGGAATTTCGGTTGACATTTCATGAGTTAGCCAACCTACTGCACCCTAGGTGGTCAATTTGACCGCGTGTATGCCAGCCTCGACGTCATCGGCCGCCGCAGTAGGTTTTAGCGAACTGTAAACTAGGAGAAGGCTAAAAATGCTCCCAAATTATGCAAATCTTGTTTTTTTCTGGAAAAGCAAAACTTCCTGAAAGCCAAGCAAAAACCGGACGTAATTGAAAGCAAAAAAGCGATCGTTAAGGCCAACCTCCCTCTTGAAAATTTGAAAGCCAACCCAACGCCGAAATGCGTAGGTAGTTACCCTAGGCGTATGTTAAAATCACGATCCCAAAACGTAACCGTAAGCCAAAAACTAACCCTAACCCTTAAACTGGCCCAAATCCCATCTCTAAAACTAAACCTATCCCTAAAACTAGCTAATCCTTATTATAACTCTAATCCCAGACTTTCATCCCGAACCTAGCCATAAACCCATGAATGGAATTCAAACCAAACGGCAGCCCTAAAATTGTCTGAACGGCGGTAAAAACCTTATGCAGCACGTCAGTGTCCTCTTAGCCTCTTGCTCCCTCCAAACCCTCACCCGCACAAATCCCATGGCTCTAGTCTCAACCCCAGAAGCTTGATAACAACACGTACAGTAGCCTGAGCACCGAATGATCCGATTCGAACTCGCTGAATTACATGCCTACCTAAATTACGCAAGAAGGACGTGGTTCTTCACATTGAAATGCGAGTCTGACGTATTTCAGTCGCGAATGCAGTGATTTATTACGGACATGGATAACCCCGTGATGCCTCACTCCCTGTTCCCTCTCTCGTGCACCCGTCGACTGTTCGCGCCCGGACCAACGACCAGTACAGAGATTGCACGCAGTTCAAAAGAAGAAGATGCGATTACTAAAACGACCAGTGTTAAGATTAGTTCGTAGTACCCGTCGAAGGTGTTGTAATTCAGCAATCTTGTCTTCCGTTTCACTGTTAGCGTCTCAACCTGCCTGCAGAGCGTCCTTAAGCAACTGCGTTTGTGATTGGCTACCGTTGAAGTTCAGTTCCTACGTCGTATTTGTCGCTTTCATGAACACTTCGGTTTTAAGGCCACCACAAGAGACTGAAATCCTCGGATGACCTGATAACCTCGTGAGCTGCGAGCTGTTCGAGTCGTGTTTCTCAGGCTCGCAATCCATCAACAAACCTAATGACCTCCCATTACCATATTCGGTGCTGAGACAACCCTAGGACAGGGAAATCAGTCACGTGGTGAGGGCGCTGGCGAACAGTAATCCCAGTAACGGCGGACCAAATTGACGAGTAATCAACACGCCCACATCCAAAACGGATGATGAAATTTCGGCAATTAACGACTGGGACGCGACTGACGAGCCACATTATGGTATGCCCGTGGCTCCACCGCGACTACATACTGTAAGTGCTGCAGTCCTTGTGCGTCCATTACCTTTACCTACGACTGTTTCCGATGAGGGGTTCGAGTGAGAATACGAAACGTCAGGCCAATAAACTTCTTTTTCCAATGATTCCACTTTTTCTTCTGAACTGCTTTCTGGAACTCACCTGTTTATACGAGCCACACATGAACTCGTTCCTAATATACATGCACCGAGCTACATTTTGAAGGACTTTGATATCGCATAGGCGGGGATGCTATAAAGATCGTAGAAAGGAGGTGTCATCACGGCCTGACTTCCAGTTTTGACAAAGACGGAATTACTCCGTCGGTTGGCAATCTTCGAAACCGCGAGTGATAGCATGTCCTGATAGATGTAAGCGCGTCTACTTGATGTTGGCGAGAAATACGCCGATCTGTCAGGAAAACAGCTTTTGCCCCGAGACTGTGCTGACAGGAACAGTGGGCAGCGGTATATAGAAGAGGATCCCACTTAACTGTCAGTAGACTGTGGATGGTGTCATATGGAGTTTTATCTTGGCATACATTTGCAGGCTGTTGCAGAAACTACCCTGCCAATAACGATTGCGTAAAGACAGGTGCGGGGTTAACCGCTTGATCAGGATTTTAACCAACAACAAAATAGATGGGTCAGAGAGAGGAGGAAGACTGGGAGTGCAGGCGCATCCACCTACAGGGAACCAGCTGCCGGGCACACCGGGCTGCGAGGGCCATAGCAGACGCTCACAATCCTTAAGACCTAGACGGGTGACACGCAGCCCTGAACCTGGCCTGGACGCCACCCTTCAGAGGGCGTTCCGCCCAATTACCAACCCAAACCCAAACCATCAAAACACCTCATCCCCAGCCCATACATCGCACACAGAGTTGTTCCACACGCCCCTTTCCCTTACTCATAGACACCGATCATACGCCTCTAATGTCAGTGGGAAGCATGTTCATAGGTGAAAACCGATTCCCGGACAGGTATGATGCAGATAAACTTATTAAACCGGAATTTACCCTACTCTCCAGTCGAACATCTAGGAGAGACGTACTTTACAACAAAAAATAGGCGACGGTATAGAGAAGGACCCCACTTAACTGTCAGCGGACTGTGGATCGTGTCATATGGGGTTGTATCTTGGCATACATTTGCAGGCGGTCGCAGGAATTATGCTGTCAACAACGATTACTTCCCATGATCTCACACCTTAACTCAAAATTCCTTATTTTGTAAAATTTACTTTTTGTTTATTGTTTAATAACTACTCTCATTCCCGTTGTTGTACAATGGCGTAGGATAATACTTTCGGTATAAATCCAGGCAATTGCTGTGTTTTCTTTCATTTTGTCCGCTTACTGTCTAGCGTGCTGCCCCACTGATAAAACTCCCTTTATCATACATCACTTATGGCACGATCCGCAGTCTACGGACAGTTAAGTGGGATCATTCTTTATACCGGTTCCGAACAGTGCTTAACGCGACATTAAAGCACCTGCTCTGGGTATGTCAAACACAGTGTTGCACTCCAGGTAAAGCGTTTTTCGGAAGATAATTGAAAAGACATGTGGGTTAAATCTCAGTCATTTGACTAACCTGAATTTCTGGCCACTGCTTTTTAATAAAGGTATTCAGAGTTGTCAAAATTCCATTTTGTGCTTCCGAAACGAAGGACTGCTCTGATTTGCCGATCTCGGTTAGCGCAGCCGAGTACGTAGAGAGGATGAAAGCTGGTGATTTTAAGGAAAAAATAGTTCATTCTGAATAAGCTGGATTTATAACAATTTTAAAGAAATCAAAATCGATCACCATACGTTCCGGATTAGTCATCATAAAGTCTGTGCAATAAAATGCCGTGGCAGAGTAGTAAAATGCAAGAAAACGACCAATCACAAGGGACGGAGTAGAGAGAGATTTGACGGATGTCCGCCCATGCCTAACATTGCGGAGAGAATTATGACTTTTGCCAGGTTTTTTAAGTTACACGAGAATTTGAGGGACATATTGGAGTACGGTTTTCAGCACAAACCGTCTAACGTGAAATCCAAGAGTTTATGTGAATATTTGGGTAGAAATTTATCAGTCATAGCGTAAGAATCGTGAAATATTCACCTTCTGCTAACAGGCAGTAGTCGTTTGATAGATAGTTATGTCATCTTTATATTTTATACTCGACGAAGGAGTATAATTAGGTTTTAAAAAGTCTCTAATTATGAGATTATTTAAGGCCGCGTAATGTCCATTCAGACAGCATCGTACCTGTCCGCTTACCACAACTCCTCATGAAATGTACAACATAGTGCGCATTCATTGCAAAATTTAATGGACTCTGTTTGATATCTTTATAAGGGCATAGGAAAATACGTGATTTTCTTTACGCGGAACGCATGCACCTTGTAGACTGAAATCGCTGAGCGCTAGTGCAAAAAATGACCAGGTTCCAAATTATTTGGCGATTAGAAAAGTCTTTCAAAATCTAATTATACTCCTTCTTCGAGTATAAACTATAGAGAAGATGTAGTTCCCTATCAAATAACTAAGAAAAAGCATATTTTTGTTTATGGTTTCTATAGCATATACTTGAATTTGCACGGCCAACGAAAATCAATGGGGAAAAATGCATGCCACTTAAGTAGTCATTTTTTGCCGAGTGCAGTTTCTACAGGCGAGTAAAAAGAAGTGTATTTTAAAGCTGGCATCCTTTGGAGTCCAAAATATTATAAGATTATGCCGCAAGATAATCAGTATTACAACCGCGCCTAGGTAATCCTCCCTAATCGAAGACGCAGTTCAGAATTTCAGCCAACATTTCATGAGATCGATCATTCCTTGAATGGTTAGCTTCCTAAAGCAAGTTTTGTTAACATACCTAACTTAGCCACTCGCTGAATTAGGAAGAGAAAGAGAGAACAAGCGGAGCTGGAAACACGCGCAGGGAGGTGCATATGAACCGATGTTTGGTATAACCGAAGGTGGCGTGTACACACTCTCCCCCCGAAACAGCCACTCGCTGGATTAAGAGGATAAGAAGGATGCAATCACAACTGGAAGGCCATAACGGGGCCCACGCGCTACTTCGCAGTGCGTGGACGCTATAGCGGAACCGATGGAGTTCCATACCACCGGGACGATTAGATTAGGGAGCCTACTTAGCCACTCGCTGGATTGAGATAATAGAGAGGGCGCAAGCAGGGATCGAAGCACGCGCAGGGAAGCGCGTGTGTACTGATACCTGTCGTAGCCGCGACAGGCGTATAAAAAAACCCCTCCCCTGTGGCACAGCCACTCGCTGGATTAAAATAGTAAGGAAGGCGCAAACACGTGAAATATGTGAAGTCACTGTAACCGCGCCTACTAAAATTGTTTTAGTAGCCAACCATATGGTATCAAAAAGTGGGGCTGCAGAACCGAACCTCGCCAAATAGTGATTTGTCACGCTCCCAGCACTGGCATGAGTTTCGCCGATTCTGTGCCTTCGCATGATGCAACAGCGTGCCTAAGGGTTCGCCGTGACCATTCTGGTGTTAGGCATTTTGTCTTTCTCAGAGATTGAAAGTGTGAGGTCAATGAGTAGAGGACTGCTGGCGACGAGGTGATTTTGTGTTCCGCTGTCAGCGGGCCTCTGGGAGCCCAGGGGAAACATTGTTCAACGAGGGAAAGCCGCGACCATGCTGTGGACAGCTACGGAGGGTCTGGCTGTAGAACGACCACTCGATGAACTGACACATCCGGCTACGCCAAGAGTTCGCGGCTTTATGAACACAGCCTAGTGATGGGCAACTTCACCGAGGAGACGAGCTCGAGGTCCGAAAACGGGGACACAGGTCGCGTTAGTCGTACCGTGGCCGGAGTCGACGATTCACCAGAACCCCACACTCCTCCCCCGGGCAGGACGCGGATAGTGAATTGAATAGCCTTGGAAAGAGACGGACATAAATAGACACACCCGACCGTCGTCCCTAAAGTACTGGTCATCTTGCGGGTTTCGTTTGCGAAGCCTGAATGGTCGCCCACCAGCTGATTAGACACTGGCAAATTTCACTTGAACAAGGAACTGCCTTAAACATGGGCTGAGAGCGGATGTGAGTAATTCAACTGACCTAGTCTCGAAAGACCAAGCTACTTCAGTAGGAGTCAAACCCACGACAGCAAGGGCAAGGCTTGATTACACCCAACGCTCAAACCGCCTGAGCTATGATGCCCCGATCGAGGGCTGTGTGATTAATGACATTTGGGTCAATTTACCCGTCCAACCTATTGCGACATATGAAACCCAGCAATGTTGTTAAATAAAGCGGACTATCCATGCTGGATTTCCTATGCAGTCAATTTAGAATCCGCCAGATAACTACCAGGCTCGCTTAATTTATTAGCTTTTGGAAGATTTAAACGATGTATCCGACCAAACTGTAGCTTCATGAATCAGGTGTTTGGAACGTTGACTGTGTTCAAGTCTTGTCCTTGCAGTCGTGCGTTCGAATCTCATGAAGGCCGCCGAGTGTCCCGTAAGTGGGTCACGAGAATCACTCGAATGCGTCAAAACTCACTTCGGGAAGCAAGGGCACCCTGTCGCAAGGCATCGACCCCCTAATGATTTGTGCCCTCCCCGAGTGCACCACCAATTTGAAACACAACAATTACCTGCATTAAACTATCGGGTCCTGGGCGATGGTTTAGTTTTCAGGCGTCACATGATTGCTTTTTTTGAGGTCCACCCCACAAATCCGCATTTAAGTACCGCAGTTTAGACGGAAAGAGGGCGTGGGTGTAACCGACATCCTTGACGGTTGGATTTAGAGCAGTAGGGTTCACTGCGCTTTAGTGTAGCATAAAAGTCCACGGCGCACCAAAGTAAGACATATCGGTTAATTTGAACTTGAGATCGCACTGTCAGTGACGCCATCTTCACGAGTTAACTTTTGACCTTGATAAGGACTAGTTTGAGGGGCTGGATGGCGTGCGCAAATGATCTACAGCTTCAGTTTTATGCCAAATTCATCCAGATGAACCAAAGATCCACTTTCATAGACATAAGTCTGAATGGTGATGCAGTTACCATGATATGGATTTTACAGTTATCTATCATGTTTAAGTCTTAGCATAGAACGATGAGTCTGGAACGGGCTACGACCAACACAGGGGCTGGATCGGAGTCCGTTAGGCGTTATCTGGAATACATATCCATAACAAATGTCAACATTGCGGGCCATGGCAGCACGCCTACGTGCAGGCTCAGGCCGCACCCATTGAGATCCATCTCATCTCACTTACTTGTCCTGTTGTATAAAATGCCGGTCAGTTAAGCCCGTAGACGAGGGCTGTGGTGGTACGCCTAGGTGCAGGTTTTCGCCATGTCAGTCCCCTACGCCCTCCTCCATTTCCGGCCTCCTTGACTATCTCTTAAAACCGGACCCAGGGGGGGGGAAGAGGTAAGAGTGCGGTAGATACATCGCAAGTCCACCACCATAAAAGAAAGCACGCGCAAACAACCGTCTCTGCTCTCATCCTGCTGTGAAGCACACGGTGAGCGTTGTCAGTCACGGCAGTCGAGATGCCGCATTGAATGGTCAATAGTGCGTTATCATTAGGAAGAAAGAACTACAATCTACAATCATAGGATTTCAACCAAAATATGGAGGAGGCAGCAGACCTAAGCACGAAACAGAGTACGCCGCGTGTCATGATCTATCGTTCCTCGCATCCAAAGAAAACGAACGACATTTGACTTTGGCATACCACTGTTGCACCAACGCTACCTTACCACGGCCACTACTAGTGTCACTATCGGGGCGGTCAAGGTCAAGCGGTGTAAGCCAACCACCGCGGTCGCAAAACCAAGTTGCTTTTATCGGTGAAAAACGAGACAGTAATGGAAGGCGTCTATTCCGAAAAAAAAACTCTGAAGTGAAGCAACCTCGGCACTGGTTACACTGCGCGATACGGACATACATGGCTTCGTGACCGACTCTTCGCTGAAATTAAAAATGATTAAAGTATCGGTTAAGCGGCTGACTTGACTGGCCGTTCACCTTTACGCGCACTTTGTTTATCTGGACGGTTGCGTCCACTAAGCCAAGAGATAAACTTCGGGCGCAAACGAAGCAACGTTACCCAGCGTATGATAATTTGCCTGGAACAAAATCCTGACTAATAGTGAATGTCCCCAGTCCCTTCACTCCTAAACGTCAAACGGAGTGAAGGGGTCGACAGGCTGAACACAGTCGGCCGACGAAGTAGTGCCTCGGCCTTCGGAGAGATGCAGGTGGATGAAGCGCAGTGAATGCAGACTCAGACAAATTCGTCGATGGGAATTTACTGTCGTGAAAGCTTCAAAGTCAGAATAGACTTCAGGGCACCTCGAATGCCTAGAGCTCATTGGAATCGATTGAAAGAGAAGCATCCGGAAAGGGAAGAGATAACTATCGACAGTGACATATCTAGGAAAGTGGTGTCTGCTTACGGGTTCACTTTACACTCATCGACTTGCCGGCAACAACCATTTCGGTTGGACGAGATGTAGAAGACCACGCTTCTTCCGTGGGCAAAATGGTGACACGGAGGGCTTGGGACAGGAAATCGAGAGGGCAACTGCATGGCGAAAGGCTTAAATTAACTCCGTTGGTTGGCTCTTCATTTTTACGTCGGGGTCACCAATTTTCGGCACAGTCACTCGTAATTAGGTAAAGTGCTTTCCGCCAAATACCAAATTCGGGGGCAGTGGTGAATGGGAATTCTGCCATAAATTGAAAGGAGTACCGAAAGAGTCCAAGCGGATCGAGGTGGCCAGTTCTAGCTTTCTAACCATCATCGGGCAACCATACCCAACCCCATGTTCAGTGCGGCTGGTACCCAGGATCTTTGGTCATTGAGCCGAACGCATACGTTGATGACCACTATGCGACTGCCGTCGTGGACTCTAGACTGAGTCTCAGCGCATAACAGAACGATCACGTCCCCTAATCGATCGATGAACACGCTTCCACCGTAGCCTAGCATATACCAGTTATGTCAGTCTGGAGTTGGCGAACGGGCTGCGGATGCAGGGAAGAGGCGACTGTAGGGGCGCATACGATCGTGCAAAAGTCGTGCTTGGAACCTGTATGTGTGCTTATTCATCTTTCACGTGGGACGCATTGCTGATGCGCTAGCTGTAAACGAGAATCAGATTGGTTGGGCTGCGCTGGGTCCACGTGATTTCTGTAGTCTTATCATAATTCTATACGGCACACCATCAGCGGAGGACTTACTGCTTACAATCTCAGCATCAGCTAGCTGGTAGGCTTGGATTAGCCAATGGTGCCTAGGAGAGGAAGAAAAGGATGAGACTGATCATACGAATAAATCCACCCTCGCGGCATTCCGTCGTAAACGAAATCAAGCACGTTTGAGGCTTCCGCGAAGCGCTGGCAGCCGAATAGTTGCTATCTGGAGGAATAACTCGATTTTGCGCGGGTCTGAAGGTCAGACTGCAATAGATCCTTCAAAACGTGACCTTCACAGTCTCCAAGTACGGGAGATACAGGGGTCTCCCAGGGAAACTTAAAACGGTTAAGATCCACGGGCCGGGTTTCCTGTGCCCCTCATCTCCAGTCGATCCGACCCTGTCTTGTCTCTGGAGCATGGCGGGTTTGGGGAGAGGTGATGATGTTCGGTCAGTTACCCATCTCATGAAATATTAGTCAAAATTCTGACACGTAGTCTCGATCAGGAAGTAGTACTTAAATGGGGCTGTACTATGGATCATTCTGTGGCACGCCGAGATGTTAGCTTTTGAATGAACTTTTTCTCGGCAGCCTGCAAAAACTGTTCTCGGCAAAAAATAATTACAAAAGTAATATTCATTTCCTCTATTGAATTCGGATGCCTTATAAATTCTAGTGTATTTTATAGAAAACCTTCATAAAAACATTATTTTTTGTACTCATCCGGTAAGATTTATGCTCAAATAAATGGTATCTTTTCGCTCTAAAACAGTTTCCAATTATGGGATTTTTAAGACTGTGCAATGTCCATCCGAATAGTATCGCATATGTCTGTTTAAAAATACACCCGGTTAAGTATACAATACAATCCGCATCCGTTGCAACATTTTATGAGGCCCCGTACGTCTTTATATGGAAAGTATCCAGCTTGTAGATTGAAAACCCTAAATAAAAGTGCACTGGTGGGTAGAGTTCAACATTATTCAACCATTTTTAAAATCAAAACGCATCCTTTCTTCGGATAAAAACTTTAGTGAAGGCATGACTTGCCACCAAATGAATGCAAAAACAATACTTGTATGCATTTTTTTCACGCAAAAATTTTGGATTTTTTGATGGCCTCTAGAAATAATATACATATGCATACTTCCTATGTAGTCACTTTTGCTGAGTGCTGTTTTTGAAGGGGTTAAAAAGAGGTTTATTCAAAAGCCAACATCCTGCCGCGTCTGAAACATTACGAGTTTATGTCATAAGATAGTCATTATGACTGCCCAACTTAAACATTTCTTCCCAATTGAAAAGACATTTCGGAATTCTGTTTAACTTCTCACGAGAGCGGTCACAGACTGTAGATGGTATTCACGGGACAATGTTGGTCTTCATCGCTTGCCAATTATTGTTAAAAGTAAACTATTTTCACGACATTTCTTATCCACAGCAGGGGAACCTAGCTTAATCTGCCTTCTTTCCGCTCTTTCTCGCTTCCTCCTTTGACGCATCAGTGATCTGTCCAAGTCTGCCCACCTCCAGGTGGTGAAATTAGATACATCGGCGAAATGGTTGATTTTATACTGTTTCGGGTGACCCGTATACTACCTGTTGTCGTGTCGTTGACAAATCCAATGCCCCCCCCCCACCTACGTAGGAACCACAACAAGCTGCCATTAACTATGCCGATGTGAGAGTATGCATTTTGTTCTGAGCTAAGCCAATGAATAGCAAGTCATAACACTACCCCTCAGATAAGAAGTACACTGTCAAAACTGATTTGTTTCTAAATCAAGGGAACAGGACGTCTTGAGTGAGAGAGCTTCGTGAACAGCAGAATTCGATTTACACGTCAAGGTTGCTGTCTAAGCTCTAAACAGGTAAGAGTCAGATAGGCTGCGGCAAAAGAAGGGCCGCGTGAAAATGCGCCGAGAGATTTGTTGACTGTCGAGTAGTCACGTGCGTTTGCACAGGCTACATGAGACGTCGAAGACACTTCTGATCAATGCCGTTTGGCGAAATTCCCCTCCCCCCGTGCCACGCAGAACGCTCGGGCAGTAAAATGACCGTAAATGCTGCCGGCTCTGATTTGAAAATCACAGCTTTTTTCACTTCGTCTGCCTCTGTATGTGTCGAGCATAGACTGATTCCTCGGTGAATTTTTTGGGAGCTCTTGTCATGGTGGTTTTCTTTGTCGGATTATAGCGAACAGACGGATACTTCTTGTACTTACATACTTGGAACGACTGCGATCACGCCTCATCCAGCCGGCCTCAATGATGTCGCGAATTTTTCCTCGCGACTCATGACAATCTTCTGCGACGGATCTTTTTGGCCCGACCAATTTCCTTCTCCAGCGACGGAGATCGAATCTCGACCGTATAGAAATTGTTATGGACAAGAACCCGCGCAATGGCGAAGAGATACAGGCGCTGAGTGCGACAAGATTTTTTGTTAGCATACCACTTGCTTCTATCTTAAGTAGGGCAATTACTGTTTAAACGGTGCAGTACATGACAGTTCAGCCGTCTTTGCGACGATGTCCACCGTGTGCTCCACAGCGAGGTTATAGCAGGCACGGTGACTCGTGCGTGAATTAGTTTATGGTGGAGGTAGACTTGCACAGCACCTGTCGCACTCTCTCCTCCCCCACCTGGATCCAGCGTCAAGACATGTCAAGAAGATCGGAGGTGAGGGAGGGCACAGGTAGCTGGCACAGCCGGACCCGCACCTAGGAGTACCATCGCACCCCCGGGTCCACAACAAACAATTGACCAGGATTTTAACCAACAACACCACCACAACGGGTCAGGACGACAAGGATGACTGAGCAGTCATGCCCACCACTTGTATACCCAGCGGGAGCGCAAGCGCATCTACCGGCAGGGGACCGGGTGCCAGAACACACACACCAGGCTGCGAGGGCCATGATTTGCTGAATAATGGCATAGCATAGACGCACGATCCTTAAAGCCCAGAAGGGTGATGCCCCACATAGGAACTTAAAACATGCACTGCGGGATATCTTACCGAGTCCGCTGTCCTCACACAGTTCCTGAACGATTTCCAATTCGTCGTTAGCAAGTTGGCCCGAGGAAGTCAGTCTGGAGGTTTTGGCGCTTAGAAACCGTGCGGTCAGTTTATCCTGAAGACGCTCAACTGAGAAAAAAATCAATTTCACACCGTTACACTTCACATATTTTAAAAATATGTAAAATAGAGTCATAAAATGACAAATCATGTATAAGGACCTTTTAAAAATTCAGAATTTATAAGTATTCTGAAGGGTGCTCTACCGGCATATTAAAACAAAAATCTTGCCATAGATGTGACCTTCAGTTCGAAGACGCAACTAGGCGTGACATGTCGAGTGGAAGTAAGTTTGTCCAATTTTAAAGGAGGCAACTAATGGAATAAAATTGAAGACTAGGTAATATACTGTAAAATTAACTGCTTACCCTGGTTTGGATTCAGCCATGCGTTAATTCCTGACTTCAGTCGTTCACATAGTCTGTAGGTATTGTCTGCTGCCTTAAACAATTTCAGCATTTGCTCGTCGTATTCAAACTTTTCCGTGTTTCCAAGCACTTCATCCTTAACCTGACGTATAGATATCACAGACTGGGCTTGGACTACTTGCCTGAATAACCCGGTCAACCGCCACATTCGCGGTTTCAATAAATTTCTTCACTTCGTCCATGGCTTCCATGCCACGTACTGGAACTTTGACCACGACTGCGCTGTCTTCAAATAATTTGCGTCTAAAATAAAAAGGGGATGAGAAATGAAGCTGGAGATTCCAGCCTTTATTTTCCAATGTGACCATTCTAGTTCGCCAAAACGAAACCATGAAATGCTCCGAAAATCCAAAAGGCGAGTTATTTGGAAGGGACTTATGGAATAATTTTTCCGGAAAAACCATATCCCATGCAAAGTAGGGAAAATGGGACGCTGGAAACTTTAAACAGTGTTGTTATTTTTTATTTTCTAAAAACTGCAAAGCGCGAAAAGCATTCAGCACTGTGTTAGCTTTTTCACAAATCGACTTGATCATGAGTGACATGGTAATTTGCACGTAGTTTATCAGGCGCGGGGGCGTAAGGGTGTTCAAGTGAAGGTTGTAGTAGGTCGCTCGATTGCTAGTAGCTGTTGACCATGCCTAGCGTCAACTAACTGGCACCCAACCCCCACTTGTGGCTCCTCAAAGCTAGGCTCTCTAGCGGCCGTGCACCGCCAACCGCCCCAATCGGTGGGCGATATCTGTTTGTATATCTCCTCTTGCGGTAATCCTGCTCTCCTCCCCCCCCCTCTGCTCCGCCCTTCTTCTCCGCTCTCCCTCCTCCCCCTGGCTCTCCTCCAACGACATGCAATTACGTAGGCGACCCAGGTCATTGGTCGTTCCGTCACTGAACCCCGTGACCCATAGTGGAGAACGGTACACGTCTGGTGCAACAAAGCAGCCCTACTTTGAGAGAGCACTGCTTTCCCCTGCGAGGGGCAGGAGCTAAAAATGACGTAAACAAAACTAGATGCACGACATCTGCACGCGGACCGTGACTCGCACGTGCGATCAAAACCATCAAAACAGAAACAATACTCTCTCCTCCTCCTCCTCCTCCTCCTCCTCCTCCCCTTCGCCCCATCCCACAGGCAACCAGGGTGAGCCCGCTCACTTCACCCCTGTCACCACCGATCACGCTGTCGTTGCTCGTCACCACCATCCGCCCTGCTTCAACACCTGCAACGGCCGCAGCAGCCAGAATCATCACCACCACGAATTCACGCACTCCCCCCACTGATGAGACGACGTCTGACGTCCCACCACCTTCTTCTACTACTACTACTACCACCACCACCCCCACCAACACTTCCGGCCCCAGCAATGTGGACTCGGTCCATGCCTGTCCCCATAGCGATCGCACATTCGCCCCCATATATTGGTCTGGTCGATCACTTGTGAATCAATCGCACAGAGACAGGCGGATCGGTTCCTGGAGCATTAACCCACGCTCACCGCATCCGCCTGGACTGCCCTCACCGCCCCCGCACATTCACTCACCACATGCGCCCACAAGGCCACATGCATATTCATGGAAATCCGCGACAAACAACCGCCGACTGCGTCATACCATCATACCTTTCCCCACCAGCACCTACACCACACAACATCGTTACCCACTATCACATAACGCAAGGACTCAATTGACACCTCTTACGCAAGTGGGAAGTGCGCTTCTCCGCTGCTTCCCCATGCAGCTCCACTGCTACATGTGTGATCCTATCACAGTACGCCAAGCGCCGCGGCTTGGAAGACTGCCGACCGACGCCTCAACTCAGACCACGCAGTCTGCCCAGTTGTGTGTGTGTGTTTGTGTAGAGTGGCGAACTGGTGGACTAAGAGTCAGGGTGCCACGGCTCCCTCTTAAAGTGATCCGTGATACTCTGGAGCACAAGGGGCGGATGTGTTCATTAATGGGTAGTGACTGACTGGTTACCCAGCCTTTGATTGCCCGGGCAAATGCGGGGCTGCATTTCACCATTGTGAACCAAAAGGCCCGTAAGCGTCTGTTATGTCGGGATCAACAAACCATGGCCTTGGGAACCTGGCGCGCGCTAGCAGTTTTCCGGCGCATGGCTACCTGCTGGTAGATGCTCTTGCGCTCCCGCTGGGTATACAGGTCATAAGTATGACTGCCCAATAATCCCCGACCCGTCCTGGCGTGGTTGTTTTGGTCCAAATCCCGGCCAAGAGTTTTTTGTGAGCCAGAGGGTGTGGTGGTAGGCCTAGGTACAGGTTGGGCTGTACCAGACACCCGCTCCCTCTCTCACCACTGGTCTTCTTGACACTGGGCTCAGGAGGGGAGGAGGAGGGAGTGGGGTAGATGCCGCGCAAGTTTGCCATCACTATGCAGGAAATCAGGCGCAAGCCACCGTGCCTGCTGCACCTTGCAGTGAAGCACAAGATGGATATTGTCGGGCACGACGGTCGAACTATGTATGTTGGACTCCGCGAATAAATGGAAAGGATAAAACCCCTACTTCTGCACTGAACCAGCACAGCTATAAGCTTTCGAAGAGAGGGAGTTGGGAATTCCTGTCTTTAATAAGTATGACCATTCTAATTTACCGAAAAGAGAAGGGGGAAACGTGACAAAAACGCCGTAAGCTTGTTCATTAAGGGATGATCGGGATTTATTTTAAACGACGGAACAATTCTTGTGAAATATTCAAGGCGGCGTATAGAAAACTTCAAATAATGCTGCGGCTACATGCAAACATGCAAGCAAATAAATGTGCATCTTGTCATAAAGACGCCAGATCATGGTAGATGTGCATGTATTTCTTCATCCTCTAAATCAGGATCTATTCATAAATAGCATGTTATGTTTCAACTGCTTGATCTATTAGGCATGCCAACAAAAAAGTATCAGAATATATGGAACTGCCTTTTACACACCAAACAACCAGTATTTGAATAATCAAAATTCCAAAAGGCATTTTGAAAGCACATGGTTTTGGTATTAACGACTACCCAGCCGCGTATACACTGCTAAAAGTAAAGTTTGAGTGCGATTTCACATCGTAAAGGCAGCGGCCTACAACTGTAGACAAAAGAATGCCTTTCCAAAAAACTATATTTACCACGCGCGATTATAGCTCATAAATTGCGACTCTTCCTGAAATACTCAGGAACGCGCTTTCATTTGAGATGTGTAGTATTCACTAAATTTGAACTGCCAACCTGCTTGCAAATGTAGTGGAGGTTTTGCTCGACGTTATTTCACCCGTGTTATCCACCCAGTTTTAACAGTCCCGTTTTTTCGGACTTATGTATGCTGTATACTACAATTGCATATTAGCTGCCTTTCATACAGACCATTGTTCTTTCCTATGAAGTTTTCAATGGCTTTTGACATGTACACCAAATACAATAGCTGCTTTTATACGCGCTACACGGTATTGTGCTATACTCGTCTTACAAATGGTACCTGCTAACCGTTTATATGTAACTTAAATAAAACAGAAAGCCAGATATCGGCCATTATAGACAAACTGGATAAGCAGCCACTGTATTCGTTGTTTCTGGCTAAAATATAGAAACTCTGCAGTAAAAAATTGAACATGACCAGGCTTTAATTTCACGTGCACAAAACTATTGGCCGATGTAGTTGACTTTTGATCTCTCAGAAGTGACAGGCGTCTTGAGAAACTACCAGAGCACACTAGCCCAACGCTTCCAAAAATATTATTTGAATGTAGCCGACAGATGTAGTAAATTTTTCACCAAAATAGAGGAGACGCAAGAACACATCTGGCTGAGCCATTATTTCGACTAAAACAGTGTTTTGTCCTTATAGGTGTCCTAAGCACTATCATATATATATATATAATGATAGAGGGGCGCTCACCTATCGTTCCTACAGAACTGACTAATTCTGTTGTGCCTTATGATCGGTGAGCGCCCCTCTACCATTGTACATTCCCGATCGAAACCGACAGGAAAACAGGCCCGTGGCCCAGTGAGTAGAGGTATTGGACTTCTGACTAATATGTCGCGAGTTCGAGCCTCAGGTGCTCAAGACCTCTGGGCTGGGTATGACTGGCAGACGACGGCTAGTAAGCCAGAAATGACCATTACAGTCTCCCTTGTCTTTGTCGGCATTTTGCATATGTATATATGTAAGTGTTTGTGTTTTCGGTACCAGCCGATGGTCAGGTTATGATTGGCTGAGTGAAGGCAAACAAGCCCGAAACAGTGCTGTATCAATCTACGCCCAGACTCCGTCGTCTCCTCTCTGCTATCATAGCTTGGCCGACTTCGGCCTGGTAGGTGGTCGCCTGTTCGTGACCCTTATCGCCCATACGAAGCTTGTTTGCTTCGGGAAGCCAGTGGATCGGTGTGCGCCCATTCCTGATTGATAAATACCCGATCTGCAGCGACAGAGAATGACAGGTGGCAAGGCACTGATGAACTTCGGTTCGATTAAGTGCTTATGACCCATCTGGTAGGCCTCAGTGGTGGACCAACTGTGCCAGGTGCATCTGTGCGCATGTTTGTGTTTCTGGTACCAGCTGGTGGTCAGGATTATGATTGGCTGAATGTAGACAAACAAGCCGAAACAGTGCTGTATCAATCTACCCCCAGACTCTTTTGTCTCCCCTCTGATAAATGTAAGTGTGTGTTTGTAACTGTACTTCTCGATACAATTGACCGCCAGTGTTGTCGAAATCTGAAAGCATCGTATTTTGTACCGTAGCTCTTCTTACTACGTTTATCCCACTTGCCGTCCCCAATACATTGCAGACCTCACGATAACTCTGACAACAAAAACCGATCCGGGACTTCTGGGCGGAGGTCGGACATAATGGGGTTCACATAAAACCTAGCATCAACAGACAAAATTGTTCAGACATATAAGTCTGTGTGTCCGGGGCGTGGCACATCGGCACGCATATGGATTGTAACGGCAAATTCCCTATCTTGTTATGGGCAGCAAAAGTAGTCTGTTTGCGTAGGTCACTTATTCACAACTCTCATGAATATGTGATTTCAAAAGTTCTCAAATTTTCTGCACTTCCTCCAGCCAAGAACTTCGCGAACTGATGGAAGAAGGAAGGTAAGATTTGCTACTGGTATTCATTGACGAAAGCAACTTTTGGGTTGCTCCATCTGCGTTTCTCTCCCAGTCGTTGGCAATTGCGCCACAATATAATTAGTGACCTATTATTTACCGTTCACTCACCCTATTTATCTAACTCCATTGCCGCTCGTTTGAGCGCTGACCAGTTTAAAACTGTTAGGTTTTTCCGTCGACTTGCTCTTATTCAGGAGGCAATAAAAGGGCTTAAGCGACGTGCCCACTTGCTCAACTGCAACCAATTACTATTACCTCATCGAAGAGTGAGTTTTGGTTATAGCAAGAAACTCGAAATTAACTAGATTTATGGTGCCGCACAATTTTGCGTGGTTTTTCAACTTTGCCTTGTGCATAACGTACAAACGATGTATTTAATCAAAAGTAGGCATGTAATCTGGCCAGCAAAATGCATAATGCGCGGAAGTACAAATAAATTAGAGTCTATGACTGGGGTGGTGTTCGCATGCGCAGATATCTAATCAAAATCAGCTGTGTTACGTTGAGAAAGGCCAAGAGAACTCACCCAGAATAATCTTTTTACGCTAAGTTATCAAACTCAGTAAATTTCTCTAACTAGCGCGTAGGAAGCCCTATTTGATGTCTAATTCAATGACACAAATGCAGTTTGGTTTAAATTAAACAGGAGTTGGTATCCTAACGAGCAGTATTTGCTGATTTCTCGTGGAATTTAGTGCGACCGTAGCAAATTGTGCACCGGCCAGAACTACGCAAATTATCTGCACTGCATCTCCAAAGCCTCAAAATTCCAGTTATCTATCAACGGCACCCCTACGCTGGTTTAAATTAAACAGCTAGAAAATAACGATGTTGGTCCAGATTTTTCCGAACAATCCAGACGTACCAATAATTCTAACGAGTATGAAATGCTTTTTTTTCGAAGAATAAAGACCGCTCCCCCAGAACGTATGTCTGGTCCACATGTGCCCATATATTTAGACGCATGTCACAATATAGACAGTTGGTCAATCTTTCAGAAGCACGTAAACATCGTCAACCGTCTCCTAGCGTAACCAAGTCAATTTTATAAAGGTATAAAAACGATTTGATTTTTGCCGTTTGCCGTTGCATTCTAAGTAGAGTCAAGAATTATCTGCTTCGTATTATTATTCTGTTCGCAGCACAAAGGCTTGATGGTTTCAATCAGTTTGTCGCCTACGCAATTTCTCACCTAACTTATCCACTGTGTCCTATACTTCCGAAGCTTGTTTGCCTTGTTTGTGGTCTTCATCGTACTTTGGTCAAATCATTTTGCTTCTTCTACTGGGCGTGATTCGTCAAGGCTGCATCATTCACAGGCCGACGCATATGTAATCATGAGTCACCAAAATTCCAAATACGCCTAAGAGCTGGCTCCTTAAGCCAAATTCACCGACGTGTTATTTGTACGCTCTTTAATTTCAGGTTCTGATCTCTATCCCAGGACATTACATCTTATTCGACAGATGACCATCTAACTATAACAGCCGCCTCCATCTATGAATAGAAATTTGCACTGTTGAGACAAGTAAGCGCAGTTTGTTAGGGGTGGATGTCAAGGGTTCGTTGTCATCATCTAAGTATTCTTATTAACAGTCTGGGCTATCTTCTTCTGATGTGATAAGTGACCAGACATTTTTTGTTTAATCGCTTATTTTTGTCTAAATGTCTCACTGTATCCACTGCTTGAAGACCTCTTTTAACATTAAGAGGTTTTACCTTCAAATATGTGGAGGATAATTATTAAAAGTAAAATAAGTCCGTCAAAAGCCAGTGGAATTGCGCTGGTGACCAAGTCATAAACGTAGGTAAATAACCAGAATTCCAAACAATGTATGCCAAATATTTTAAGTGAACGGCACAAACGATGATAAGCAATGAAAATACGACATAAAAATAAAACTTTACCAAGCAGGAAAGGTACATTTCTAACTGAACAAATTTCAACCTTCGATAACAATTTTTGAAAGGTTATTGAATATCTATCATTACCTGTATGTGTAATTAGGTGCAGAATATATAGTTACGGAGTGCATACCTTGCTATTCACCTTCTTTACAATAAGAACTAGCCTGATTCCAAGCGACCTTAACGTCCTCTGTCGCGACGTCGAAGTTAAAATGAACAAGGGTAGAATGACCTTGGATATTGATCTACTTAAACGGCGGTGATGAGACTGTTAAGAAAGCAAAAAACCCTATACTACTCCAGCCCTGTGTCCACCCTCATGCAAGTTTATGTATAATTATATTTTTCTTTACTGTGAGCACTTGCAAGCGCACTGGACTCTGGCCACAAACCAAAGTGATTTGCAGAAATATTCAGAAGGGAGGGTTAGAGATGGAAGTGATATAAACTTGAACAGACCTTCGTACTCCAATAGAAAATTTAAACAAACAGGATTAATGCAAACGTATGCAAGGAAGCAGACGAACAAGTCATTTCAGGGAATGTACATACAGAGGTACTAAAATAAATAGGACACAATGTTATTTTTTGACAAATGAAAAAAGACAAAAGTCAGCAAGGTGAAGTAGCTATTGCGTACATGATCATAAAATCTTTATGAAACTCCTACGGTTATACAAGCGCTACTCTCGGAAAATTGTAAAGAGAACTTGAGCGCACTCCTGTAGACCGTGGACGTTCTACAGGAATTTAACAGGCATTGTTTGTTGGTGCTGTGCGCCAAACCGCCAACGTTAATAGGGCTGTAGGTTTTTCACTCCTATAAGCAATGTCTGAGATGCGGTTGACTAAATTTTGCGAAATTAGCTCGAACTCATGATTTCTTAGAAGCTGAAATCATTTAGTTCGGCCAAATGTATGCGTGGGAAAGTATGGGCTTATATCTGATTTCATATTTTTCCCCATACAAACCATAATTATTTGCAATAATATTGGGACAATCCATCAGCCACCTTTAGCAAACGTTCTAACCCATATAAAGACCCGTTTCTGCCTTCTTGTCTCTGATGATGGATTCGAGTAGGAATCCGAAACGTCAGGCTAATAAAGCTCTTGTCCCGGCGATCGTGTCTCCTTCTTCAAGATATTTTTTAGTTCAAGCGCGAGCATCATTTGCCCACGCAAAGAAATTTCTCAAACAAAATTTTCACAATACAGTGTATCGTCTCTCTTTTTCTTCCTTCCTCTCAAAGAATATCCACTGCAGGCTTTGAGGTGGCTTAGTCCTGGAGGCTTGGAGTCACTTCATATCGGTACTCGGACAGATTTCAGCAGCGGAAGCATAATTATTTCAACTGGAACAATAGGGTTACAGAGTGAATAGTGTCGAAGTTGCGAGTAAATGTGTAAAGATATATGGCGGTGGGTGCCTACCGATCTCGCTATCGTACCTACTCGCAATCTTTGTGCTTAAGGACTTAATATACAGCCTCGCAGGAAATCGAACAGCGACTACTAATTCGTCTAGTTTGAGTCAGTGTTTAGAGTTTTGGGCATCTAATTAAGTGATTGCGGGTCCAAGACTCAAATGTCGTGTGTCTGGTGTTCGATATGGATAGCTGCTGGCGTTTAAAAAGCCAGAAGCGACTTTTTCAGTCTCTCTTGCCTTTTACGGTAATCACATTCTGGATACATAACTGTTCTTGGACTACTCTGCCTCCATTCCAGCCGATATATCCCTGATCCCCGGCCGGGACGAGAAACATAAACGTGCGCTAAAGCATGGCGTATACGGGTCATTTACTAAATAAGATATGAGCGCACGCCTGTCTGCTGACTTTCTGAAAGAGGAGGACTTCGAAGGGATGACATAATTCCAGAGAATATGCACTCACACACAATGCGGACACCCTGGTGAAATACTTATGCACGTGTAGTGTCTAAGTAGTAGGCATACTCAGAGCACCACAGTAATCACGGTGCAATGGCGTTTTTGAAGTGCACTGGAAAGACACAGGCAGAGGTCGTGTATTCCTCACAGAAATCCTGTGGTTGTCAGAGCTCCTACACTCGGCCGGCTCTGCGCGTGTGCGTGCGTACATGTGATAAGGTGATGTAGATGCGAATGAGTAATTGTCATGTGAGAGTCAGCCAGTGTCATTCTGCTGAGCTACATGAATGACGTTGGAATTTGCGAGCACCCATTACTGACTGTCTTCAACGCAGCATGTGCGCATGTCCCGGCCACCCGAGAGACGTGATGGTATGAGTCCAAGAGCGGCGTATCCGCCGGATGCGGAAGACTTGTGCAAGCTTGAGGGCCATATGATAGACGACGGCTACGGGTCATCTGTGTCGAATGTGTGCGCATGTTTGCTTGTCTGACATCAGACAGTGGTCAGGATTATACCTGGTCAAGTTACGACAGAAAAGGCCCAAAAGGTTCGTGTATCTGTCAGCTCGCGTCTTCCGACGTTTTCCCACTTTACGACTGGTAGTTTCCATGGCCGTAACCTCTGCCGCACATTCGGACATTACTTGCCTTGCGATGCCGATGGGTCATGCTTATCCCGACTGGGGGCGTATAGCCGTGCTGCAGGCAGATGCTGAGGGAGTAGTCAGCGTTTGTATTGCTCGTCGGTGTGGTGTCAGGTTTGTTGCTGTTGTCGCTGTTGATCTGCTGCCTTTGGTGTTGCTACTGATGGCGATGATGTTTTTATTGTCGTTGGTGGTTGTGCGGATGGTGGTGATAGTAGTAGTAGTAGTAGTAGTAGTAGTAGTAGTAGTAGTAGTAGTAGTAGTAGTAGTAGTAGTAGTAGTAGTAATAGTGTTGGTGGGCAATGGACACGAGGGCCTTCCGCCGAATAAATGGAAATGTCAAAGAGCGATGTTTGGCAACACGAAGGTTTGCGAGTTAGAAGGCAGAGAAGACCGAGTTATTGGCCAAACATTACTGTGGCAAGAGAGCGTACAAGAAACTCAGTAAACATCAGCGGCGTAAATCCTCATTGAGCAAGTGTAGTTTTAGCCCACACACACGAAACGCTGCGTGAACTTATCTTTGTCCGCCCACAGCCAATCGGCGAAGAACATAATGTCCATTGTCCTCGGACTCTCCTCACGCTAGTTCCAAGTCATACTCAACTCCAGCAGCAAACTAACTGAAAAGGGGCATGAGTAAGTGGCCAGGACGGCAACAACGGAGTGGACTGCCACAAAGACTGAAGTTACGACGACAGTGTGAACGTCCGGAAAGGGGCTAATCCCTGTTAGCACTCTACCTGATTTGAAGATTTGCGTCTTTGGAGCATCTGCATGGCCTTTTGTACTCAGTTCGCGTCGATGATAACTATGCCGTCCATCTTGGGGATGCGCTAGACGTACATGATAATCTTCCAGGATTCACCAGTTTGCTAAAAAAAAACATTTGAACAATGGTTTCAAGCTGTTTTTTTGCAGTTTGTTGTCCTTTTAGCTGTGTAAACCCGGAGTAACATAAATGAAGGATAGTCATTTCGACAGATTCTGATCCTCCGTCCTCTTACTATGACCATTCTGCCGATGCTGAATCCGCTCCATCATTACAGAGTTGTCAAAAATGGTGGTCACCTCCAGATCCTGCGTATCTTGGATCCATCCTTACCAATTCGCTGTCAGTGTCCCTCGAAGTTAGGGCAAACGGTAGGGGTTGCTCACTGGCTTTTGGTAAGTTATTCGCGTCTTCTCGCCGTAGGGCAGCACCGTCGGGCGACGGCACAGCACATCCTCAGTTTTTTTGTCGAAGAGGTCAGCACGAAACAACGCTGAGTTGTGAAGCCTTCCCAAGACCTGCCACGGCATATAGGTTCATGTGCTTTTGACGGTCGTGCTTCTCAAATTGAAAAAAATTGGTTCATTAGCATTAAGTGGTTGTACTTTCGAGTTGTTGCTAGCGGTTGACGGGGGACGGCCGTCCACTCCATACTTGCGGTTGCCCCATGTTTGGTTAATCAGAAAGTAAAGACACCAATTTCGCGCAGCATGTATGTGAAGTGCACCCACACTCGACGCTTGGCATCAAATTACGTCTCTTTCCGATATTTTCTTGCACAATCGTGCCAACTAAACATTATCTAAAAAAGACGAATGTACGATATCTGGGACGATAGATTTGCTGGTCTTAGCTTTCAAACTCGAACAGTAGTTCATCATCAGAGTGCAGCAACGTGTGAGCATTTATACCGTTATGCAGTGAGGGGGGGGGGGATTACGTCCGAGGATAGGTCTGGTTTGCGCTGCCTGGCCCACAATGGTCCCCCGGCGTGGTGGCGGCGTTTGTCCTTTGCGCCGATGTGAGCTGCGCCACCTGGCTGCGTGGGCGGAGTGCGTGATAACACGCAGGCAAATCAATGTGTCTGTTGATAGAGTTGGTGTCCGACACACACGCCTCCAACAGTTCTTGCCCTGTCCTGTTGCCGGCTCGCTCCAATATCCGCGTGTTGGCGAAGTCGAACTCACGGCCTTCCTTCAGCGTGGGTGTAACGACTTGACATAGTGGATCGCCTCTCCGAGCAGCCCGTTTGTGCTTAAGTATTCGTGAGCTGAGACGTCGTCCTGTTTAACCTGTGTAATGGCAAGTACAGTTATGGCAGAGGATTTGATAGACTACGCCCGACTGCTCACCTGCGTCCAGCCGATCCTTCATTTTCATAATTCTATTATACGTGGTATCCGCCGGATGATGAGCGACGCCGACGCCTAACTCTGACGCAATTCGTTCTGTGGTCTCGGACACATCCTTTATGTGCGGTAGGGAGTACCAAATTGTTGGTCTCTCTTCCATTTGTCCGTCGTGGGTGCGTGCATATTGAGCGACTGATGAAACTATTTGAGTAGCCGTTCTTTGTCAACTGGTCCGGGAGATGCCGTAGTTCTTGCATTCTTCCTTCGGGCTCGCTACAGTGCGTTTTTGCCCAGTCGAAAAGCGCCCTCTCAGCCTCGTTTGTACACCAATGGGTGGTTGCTATGGTAGCTGAGGACCTGGGTTGTATTGGTCGCCTTTTTGTTCACTGTGGTGCTGAGTTTGCCATCAGATGTACGCGTGACGAGCGCTTAAAGGAAGGGTAATTTCTCAGCCTCCTCGTCTTCTCTTGTTAACTGAATGTCGGGAGAGATGCTGTTACGCAGGTCTTGAGAACCCGGTAGCCCGCCCTTATGAATAAGGACGAATGTATCGTTCACATATCGGCACCAAAATGCAGGTCTGTAGTGGTTCTTTAGGACCCATGGGTGCTCCTTTGGCTTGTTCGTATGTTCTGTCATCGAAGGTGAAAAAGTTTCGATAGCAGAATGCAAGGAGCTGCATTAGGTGCTGGATTTTTAGGAGCTCTGCCGTTTCGTCGTACTTTTATTTGAGGCGTTTGCGTAGCACGTCGCGAGCCAAGTCCGGTGGAATGGACGTGAAAAGTGAGACAACGTCGAAGGATACCATGATTTGGTGGGGTTGAATAGTTTTTCCCCGAATGTCGGCAAGGAATTGGGAGGCCGAATTGACTGACGTCACAGGGCCCTCTGAGAGAAAATTGAGTTTTCGGAACATCCGTTTGGCTAGATTTTATGTGGGGCTGCCTTTCAGGGCAACGACTGGCCGCAGAGGAACGTTGGGTTTGTGGATTTTTGGTAGTCCATAGAATCTAGCCAATGCGGGCGTTATTCGTCAAATGAGATTGCATTGTTGCACAAGAGTAGGCTTAAGAGTCCAGTCAGCTGTCCAGTCATCGATTTAGCCTGCAAGGCATGTATTGACTTATCGGACTGTTGGTCGTCCAGGAGAGCTTGTGCCTTCTCGTTGTAATCAACGCGGTCCATCACAACGGTTGCTCTTTCTTTGTCGGCCGGTAGCATTTTAATATCTTTGTCCATTTTTAATCTCTCCACTGCTTTTATTTATGCGGGCAACATGCTGCTAGCATACCTGTTCGTCATCAGGAGAGACGTGACCTTTTGAAGCACCGTGTGTTTAGCCTCATCGGTTGCGTTATTTCGTGCCAACATGACCTCAAATGCGGCAATGAAGTCGGCTAGGGTGACATCAGCAGTGTTAAAATTGGCTTCGTGACTCAACACCCTGAGTTCCGGTTCGCTTAACCGCTTCGACGATAAGTTGTGTACCACATTTCCGTTGGTATTGATTTCGGATTTTAATTTGACGGCCTTTTGGTCCGACATCTCATCCCCAACATTCCAACCTCCAGCGATGTGGATTCGGTCCAAACCAGTCCTCATTGCGATTGCACACTCACCTCACATGTCGGTCTGTTCGAACACCTACAGATCCATCACACAGAGACTGGCGAACCAGTGCCTGGGGCATCAACATACACTGACCGCATCCGCTTCCACTGTCCTCGAACTTCCACTCATCGCATGGGGCTGATTAGGACGCATGCGCACTCGCAAAAACCTGCAGTAGACAACCGCCGGCTACACCAAACCATCACACTTTCTCCTACCACCATCCGCATATGCCAACGCCATCACCCGTCACAAGCACCCAATGTCTACCCCTCACACAAGTGGGAAATGTGCTTCTAGGTTTCTTCCCCATGTGACTGCATATGTGATCTGTGTCGAAGACTATCAGGGTGCGTCAAGCGCCGTGGCATGGAAGACTGCCGACCGACGCCTCGGCTCAGTCCACGCAGTCCGCCCAATTGTGTGTATTTGTGTGGAGTGGAGGACTGGTAGGCTAAGAGCCAGGATGTTACGGCTCCTTCTTAAGTGATCTGTGACACTCTCACGCATAGGATGAGTGTGTGTGTGTACTTTGTGGACAGTGCCTCTCAGTCGACGACTGAAGGGTGACGACCCAGACAAATGAAGGGCCAGGGGTCACCCTCTCTGGACCAAAAGATCTGAAAGCGTCTACTATGCCATGATCAGCCTGGTGTGCGTTGGCGGTCCTCTGGTGCCAGGCTCCCTGCCGGTAGATGCGCTTGCGCTCCGCTAGGTATACAGGTCGGGATCGCGGCTGCCGAGTCATTCTTCTTCTCTTCTTCCTCCTCCTCCTCCCCCTCCTCCTCCTCCTCCTCCTCCTCCTCTTCTTCTTCCTGCTGGTAGATGTGTTTGCGCTCTGCGCAATGTAGACCGCTCATTTGTGCCCACTAAGGTTTACGGTTCTGTGAGCGTCTGCTATCCCAGAATCAGCAAAACATCGCAGCCTGGTATGCGCTGGCAGTTCTCTGCCACCTGGTTCGCCGCCGGCGGATGCGTTTGCGCTCCCGCTGTGTGTACAGGTCGTGAGCATGGCTGCCGAGTCATCCTCCTCCTTCTGATCCCTCATGGTGCTGCTGCTGTTGTTGATTAAGATCCTGGTCAATCGTATGGACAAGACGGTGTGGAGTAGAGCGCCAAAATGAGGGCTCGGCCGTGCCATCCACCGCGCCCTCCCCCGCCTCCGGCCTTGTTGACTGTCTTGACA